AAAAGAGTTTGACACGAGGGATAACCAAATATTGGTTTAGCAAATGGACTCCATGTCTGTGTGTATCTTCAATAAAGTAGTTTGAATCCTATTTTTGAGGAAAGATTTTTTTTAGCCCAAACGGCGTAAATGTAAATTGTGGGCTGTCATTAGACACTAGTTTGAGTCGTCTTATGTTTATTTGCATGTAAACGACATGTCAACTAGCAAATGTCACGATTACAAACTGTTACTGTATTGGGTAATGGAGCAATATATATCATATTCCCATAACAACCATGAGGTTGTATCAAAGAAATTACGTCTTGTATATATATATATTTCATACATTTAAGCATATTACTGGCTGGTGGCAGTAACAAATAATCTCTCACTCTCGGTAAAATTAAAAGCTTGCTTTATAAGTCTAATAAAAAAAAATAACCAGTGAAAAGTACAAAAGTTTTCCATCGCCTGTAATTGAGCATTTGATTTCTTCTCAACCCAGTGTAAAATTTATTGGTTTAGAGATAGACAATTTTCTGTCTGATAAGATTTTGTAAAAAACTTCGAGTACAAAACATCATAAATAACCAAGTTTTTATAAGCTAAATGTTTTTCCGAAGGTTCAAGAAAAAAACACATATTCCATGTGTTACCTTAAATGTCAGCACCAGCAGGGTAAAATGATAAATAACAATCATATTTTTATTTCAATTCATATCTAGGATATATTATTGTGTTGTGAAAGAGCACATGGTCGTTTTGCATTTACCTCACCTATCATAACTCGTTATCCGAGTTCGCCGAATAAATTTGTTTTTTTCGCGAATAAATCTGTTTCTCTGGGGTTTAATTGGTAGTCACAAATTATCATCTTTGTCAAATAGTCTTAATTAACGAAACAATGGAGCGTTTTTTTTTTTCTTTAATCAGTTATTGAATTGTCATCTCTAATGCGTCTAATTTCCTTGTTTAACAATCAGGTCCAGTTTTTCTTGAAACTTAAGGATTAAGAAAAAAAAAACAGGAATAAAAGGGTTTTCTTGTGATTTTGTATCATAAATTGATCTTAAATGGGAAGTGGGCATCTACCATATACTGAGTGGTAGGAATGGGCCGCTGGAGTAGGTCCCTATTTCATGCTTCATATATTTGTCAAATCTATTTATTTCTCCGTGAAATAGCGTAATATATCAATAGATCTATTTCTGTCAACAAATATATGATGAGTATGTATTTATTAATATTCAAAATATATATGAAAAGGGTGCTGTATTGGATGTCTCAGCTGTTCCGCCACACCACAAAGGGATTGAAGTAACCCTCACCGTTTAGATCACCCATTTTATTCTGTTTCTTTTTCTTCAAGCTTCACGAATTTCACTCTTTAGATTAATAATTTCCTTCCAACGTGCTGACAGTTCCCTTTTGAAATTGTTTATATTATCCAGTAGACATTAATCTGTTTGGTCACAGTTTCGCGTTTGAATCTGCAAGTTTATCTTGATGCTCTTCAACTTCGTACTTTATTTGGCTTTCTAAACTCTTTTGATTCGAGTGCCACTGGTAAGTCCGTTGTTCACGAAACGCGCGTCTGGCGTACAATACTCTTAGCCTGGAACATATATGATGAGTTTATTCATTCGTTTGTTGGTTTTTGTACAATATCGATCTTCGTACTCGTTATCCTCTTAGAATGACCGGTTTCTATTGTCCGAGTAACTGGTTGACAGTTGTTCACTTGAAATCGAGATCAACAATCTGTCATCCAACTACGGACAGCATAAACTGACTTTCAATCTAACAGTGCCGGAATAAATGTCGAAATGCACAACTCCATGTGCTGATTTATAAGGAGATACTAGCTTTCAATTATATTATAAACGCCTTGTAATGCATAATCGTATTTCTTCTTCTTAAATGCATGAAAGAGAATTTGGGTAATGTGAAATAAACGTCTATGTAACAACAAGCCAACAACAATAGTAAATTGTAAAAATGTGATATTTGATACAGTATCTACCCATGAAAATGTATGAGTTACGTTTTAAAATAAATATATATATCAAACAATTAATGTTCTTTTTTTCTGCGTAGGATGTATTCAGCTTTGGGTGAAGGTTAAGTTGATAACAGCAGTGTAAATATAGAAAAGTGAAAAATATAAAAGTTGTACCTCTTCTGTTAAATAAAGTTTTGAGTGGATCAAAAACAAGCGAATCGAAAGTTTATCACGGTCTGACGTTCTTTTAATCTTAACAGATAATTCTTGACATCCGTAAGATAAAGAACACAGATTTTCCATAATTCAACCACTTCCTTCGAATGGGGAAAGATCCAAACAGCGACCTTTGCTTCAAATCAGTAACAACTCTTCTAGTTGTTTTCTTCATATCTGAATTAAGAGAATTTCATTATATCCTTATGGATAGGTTGCTAATGAACTCATAGGGATATACTGTTAAGTCAAGAGTTATTTTACAAATTAATTACGTCATTTTGACGACTAATAAGAAAGTACGCTGCATTTTATCTAGATAACCAATGATTTATTTAATTTTCATGCATCTAGAGGCATACCAATGTGTGTATATATATATATATACATGAAAGTACATGTAATAATAAATGCAATTTGACAACCAAGAGTATTACTTCTGGAAAGAATGTCTTCTTTACATAGTTGGATCTGGTTATTGGTCTCATTCACTGTAGCCAACCTTAAGGCAAGTATTTATCCATGTACATTGATTTAAGTTTATAGATAAAATGTATCTCAAAATAATAACAATAATAATAATATATATAATAACAATAAAATGCCATGACTAATGATATCAAATTTGAAGAAGAAAAAAATGCCAGGAAATTACTTCAGGCACAGCTACCCAGGTCGGCATTTGTTTTTTACCGGCTTAAAGTACGTCAATAAGGCGTTACTAATGGGTCAACTAATTGCTCAATGATCTCAAATTCCTGTCTGATATTTTCGAAAATACATAAATCCTTAAACAGTGCAAAGAAACCGTCATAAAAATGAAAAGAAACTTTGAGGGGAAAAAGAAAACAATACCATTTTGGAAAAATCAAATTTCTATTAATTTCGATTAAGAAACATCTTTATCTTTTACTTGAATCAATTTCAGAGGCACAACAATTCTGCTAAAACAGATATGTGTGACAACAAAAGTCATAGTGAGTATCATTATCACATCTTTAAACGTTCTCAAGTAGTGTTCTTTTTCTCGCTAGTACAAATTTTGTTTTCTTTTTTATCACAAGAACTGAAAATCACACAAAACATGCAATGGCAGGTATATGCTATTATTGGATTAATTTTACACCAAATATCCAAACTTGACACGAAAAATTTGCGTCGACAACAATGGCGGTGGGACATACTTGCGAGTATGAGGGAGGTTCGATTTTTTTTGACGAAATTTTGACAAAGTAAAAATTGTGAATAAACCATAGTAGGAAAATATCGATACAGACTTTTCAAAATTTTCTACTGAAAAGTAAGTGTTTGTGTGTTTAAAAAGCACAGTCTTACCGCCTAATATATATTCTCGTGTGTTTCGCCGCCTACTATTGACACATAGCTAATGCATGAAAATAACAATTCCATTAATTTCGTGCGTCCGAAGCGCTTTTCTGGACTTCAATACCTCCATCAGGCCCAAACTTTTTGAGAGCCAAGGATGTATAAGACCCGAACACGTGGAGAGCTATATGACGAAGAAATAAACTCATAATAGATACAAGGATTGAAATTGTGTATGCCAGACGCGCGTTTCGTCTACAAAAGATTCATCAGTGACGCTCGAATAAAAAAAAGATGAAAAAGGCCAACTAAAGTACGAAGTCGAAGAGCATTGAGGACCCAAAATTCCTAAAGTTTTGCCAAATACAGCTAAGGTAATCTATTCCTTGGGTTGAAAATCCTTAGTAATAATGCATGTAAATGCTTCTCGGGCTCAACAGGGAACAACGTTGTTTTTTGCTATTTTGGCATATCTTATCAAGTATTGTTTTGTGTGTGTAATTTGGGAAATAAAAATAATCTATTCTATTCTATTCTATACATGTCATACATGTCATGCTGCCCATCAAGGGCTCTTGATTGGAATAATAAATATTTTTATTCTTATTCTTATACCTTTCAAGGTTTTAAATCTGATATAGACACATGGAAAACCTATGGCTATATGAAATTGTTCATTTGCAGATCCAGGACGTTGAAAAGGGGTTGGGGCACCAAGGCAACGTTAGGAGTGAGTCGCTTGTAAAAAGTATATGCATTAACCATAGGTTCGCATGATAACGGTATATCAGCCTCTATGAATATGCATACTATATATTAGGACACATCCAGTCAATTTGATTTGGACCTAAATTAGTTCCCTTGTATTTCGGGAATAACTGGGACTATTATACTAATAGTTAGTATAATAGTCCCAGGGAATAATGTTAACTGGCCACCCGCTGATTGATACTTCGACATAAGATTGAAACAACAACAGGGGTCCAGTTTAGGAATAATGATACCGAAATTTTAAAATTACCGAAACCAATCCAATAGTTAGAAAATTGATTTCCGGTTTTTGCATTCGCATAGTCAATCTTAATTTTCAAATAGTTCTAGCTACTATTGTGGACGAGAACGAATCATGCAACAAGTCATTAGGTGGGTAGCCAAGAAAATGAAATATATAAAACTAATAAAAGTCAGATAATATGGTTTTGATAGGTACAACTCCTCCAAACTTCAAAATGACATTGAAGTCATATGTATATGGTGTACCGTTTGCTTGTTGTACAATGTGCAACACAGTGCAGGGGACATAGAAATACCACGTGTTGTCTGTGACTGTTAGTCTGATCTGAAATAAAAATAAAATTAATTGCTCAATAGCGAAAAGAATGACTGCAAAACTAAATAAACACAATTTACCAATCCTTGGAGGTTTGTTAGTTTTAATAAATGTATTTATTTTCATATCATTTTGTAAACATATCTTTGAGGAATTAAAAAGATTAAAACAGTAGTAAGCACAAAACAAGTTTCGGTAATAAATCTCAAGAATAATATAACTCTGTGCATAATGCTTCAAGGTAGTTACACATCCTTGACATTCAAATTTTTAGGTATGAGTCACTTAGTGTTCCTGATGAATGTAAATCTAGAAAAGAGCTTCAGTCACAACACATTTATTAAGTTAATTTTCATTTTTCCAACTTATATTCTTTTTTTTTAGTATTTATTCCCGTCAGATTACAAAAGAGAAGTTCTGTACCAAACATTTTGCAAACCTGGATTGTAGCAGATCCAAGTATCCAAAGATTTCATGGAAGTGTTGTGGAGACCAGGTCTTACATTATGAATATAATGAAGATTGTAAGTAATAGATTCAAGATCGACACTCCATCGGGCATTAAGATTAAAGGTAGTTTATGGAGGAATAAATAAATGTCAGTTAGCATGGGATTCCACCTATTCAAAGTATTTGCAAACCATGAACTGTTTAGAAGACAGCAAAGTAGTCAGGACATTTTAACTTACAAAAGGGCAAATGCATACTACCTCAGCCTTCACGATAAACTTTTGAGTCCACAAGCCCGAAGCTCAATTTTTTGAAAATTTTAGTTGGATTCTGTTGGCTTGTAGAGAAGAATTTTACAAGCCTGAAAACAATTTTACAAGCCAGGGCCGTAGGACTTGTGGTTAAGCGTGAAGACTGCTGAACGTTCCATTCAATTTTAGCATAAACAATTTATGTTATCAAATGTCTGGCAAATGGTCAATTTCAATTTAATTTTTATCAAAAGGTATTTTGAAAATGACAAGTGCTGAAACTAATTTTGTTAAGGTGAAACTTTGGTATAAAATCTAAATCTTAGGTAGAGCCAACTTAATCCATCTTAAGTCATAACAATTTGTAATAAAGATCAAATGAAATAACCTGGTTACAAAAAAATGGTTGACAGACAGATCTGATGTATTTTAAATGTCATGTTAGGAATTAGAACCTGTATCTCATGCAATATTGCATACATGTGATGGACTGTGAAACTCAGATCAGGAGATTGGGAAATTTTGGTCAGGAGATTAGGACTCAGGTCAGGAGGTTTTTAATCGACATAAATTTTGTCGTAAATGTAACCGTGTGCTGTAGAAATTGTCTTTTAAAGTGTGTTTTCTTCAACTTTCCATCCAAATGTATTATGTTTATAGTACCCTTGTACTTATAAATTTACTGTATCTTTATTCAACATGTTCAATTCAACATTCTTTATTTTCTATCTTTTTTATCATTATTCTTTAGAACAATCACTGCAATCAAAACATTTGTTTCACTATCTTTTTTTTTTTTTTTTTTTTTTTTTCTATTAGTTTCACTATCTGCAGAAAGGCAGATTTACTTTCAATCTAGAAAGTTGGGTCATAGTTATTACATAAATTTCAATTTAAGCCTTGTAAGGAAGTATAGAACCCTTAAATAATTTTCAAATTATAATTTTTTTATTTGTCTTAAGACATTTAAAATCATTTAATTACCATCCTTTTATGATTATTTGTTCAATTTTTATTTTATTTATATTCTTTTAAAAATTTACATTATTTAAAGGAAAGTAACTTAAAACAGGATAAATCAAGGGAAGTAACCCAAAATTCATTTCAATTATTTTTAAATACACAAGTTTTTATTACACAACGGCAGTTAGCCTGAGGTAAAAATCGTTGCTTACCAGTATGTTTGACACCCTAGCTGACAAGTGAAGCCATAAAATTATACATGTTAATTGATTTACAGGTAAAATATAACTTCAGGTAATGTCAGTTACACCAGATATGTTGATTTGAAATTTTTCATTCATGAAATATTTCATACACAGGATTTTTTTCTCTTCAACGGGAGGTCTGGAGGAGACCCCTGAAAATGGGATTATTGTACTCCCGTCGGGAGGTTCACATGTATGATATTGATTAATTGTTGCTTGTTTCATGTCCAGTGGCAACACTTCATTCATATTCAGGTCTATCTCATGAATTTTTTGCTATAGTTTTCAAGTTTTCTAAATATTTTTTTTTAAGCTTATGCGAATAAATTATATTCTACTAGATACATGGTATACCATTCACAAAAATTTTGAAAAGTTAACATGATGTTAAATACATGAAAAAAGGAAACAAGTCAAACATTTATGAAGAAGAAACCCAATCTACAAAAATAGAAGTCTATAGGCCACTATATGGCCTTCAACAATGAAGAAATGCTTCACTGAATGAAAAACATCCAAATTCTCAAAGAATAGATGAATTGTAAATCAATTCAAGAGATACGTCCACACAGAAATCTCAGTAGACAGGAAAATATGCTTGGACAGCAACAAATACTGAAGAGCCTCCTGACTAATGACACCAGGCACTTAAATACTTGTCAGGGTTAAACTATAGTTTTGTTAGTACTTAAATTCTCCCTTTTATCCTTGACCTTGGAAGGCACAATCACAAGCAGCACATGATTCAATTAATCTTGTGCAACTTATACAATAACAATCATAACAAAATCAGCTGTTTATAAAATGGGTCATTATGACTTTAAGTTTGAAAAAAACAGTGGTTTCAACTACGGTATTATGATTATTTAAGTATTTAGTGTCTAGAAATAACCTTTCCATGACTTGTCTTTACAGGTGCATAATTTATTCAAAGACAGTACCCTAAGCACTCCTCTGAACATAGTTGTCAACAAAGTAGAATTTTTGGACAGATCATTGGTAAATATTAAAATATGGAAATGTGATTTGATTGCCAATGAGACAAATATCCACAAGACTTGAAGAGACCAAAAGATGAGATTGTAAGCAACTACAGGTCAGCTTGCAACCTTCAACAATGTGCAAACTATACTTTATGATATACCTTAAAGGAAGCCAACTTTAAAAATGTGAAAAAATTTTACAGGAGAAAACCAAGGGTCTGATTTATGCTAAACACAATAACTAAATAACAATACATGTATGGCAAACAACAAACACTGTATTACAGGCTCATGACTTGGGACAGACACATACAGAATGTGGCAGGGTTAAACATGTTTGTGAGCAGGCAACCCTCCCAAATCTGGGACACTAATGTTACAGTAAATTATTAGAATAAACTGTAAAAATCTGTTGGAAAGGGCTTTACACATCTTCTTGTCCAACAATATGACATTCACTAAAATACCATAAATTTATAAAACACACAAGAAATTTTAAATCCCCCATTTCAATGCAAATACTTGTAACCAGGTGATTGGAATACACCTGGGTAAACCTTATTTTAGCTAGAAAATGTATAAAGATATTGTATGTAGTTTTCTTTTTTAAAATTTAGGCAGAACCAAAGACACCAGATTGTGTATCATCACTTTGTAGTTTCTGTAGATGGGCTTCTCGAAGAAATCATAGAAATGATAATCACCAGGGAAATTCTGATGTTGCAATTTATATAACAAAGTTAGTAATTGTTACAGGAAAACAGTTAAATTAGATTTGTCCATGACATTTATATGAATCAGCTGTCTCCCAGCAAACAAACTTGAAGGCCATATATATTACCTTGACCTATAATTGCTTACTTTTTACACTTTGTGAATTGGATGGAGAGTTGTCTCATTGGCACTCATACCACATCTTCTTATTTATATTTGACTTAATTGTCTATCTAAAGAAAAGGTTTAAAATCTTTCAAAGCAATGTTGTCTGAAGCTGTTTATAATCTGATTGGTTGGTCAGTTTTCAATATCCTCTTCTCTCTTAGGTTTAAAGAATAGTTCATATTATGCTAATAAACTTGCCTCCTTACTGTAGGCAGATATGAAGCCACAATATCTATACCTTATTCTACCCTTTCAATTTTCACATTCTTATCTCCTCTGAAACTATTGAACTTGCATGAAAAAAAATTGCAAGAATAATTTGTCTAAGGTCTATTTTAAAATTTCACTATACTAATCCGGTTAGATAAAAAAATACCAAAAAACATGGCAACCAGATGTAGTTCTGATGCAGTTTGGTTCACAGTCGAAATTTTGTTTGTTCGTGAAATCTCAGATATATTTTACCCAAAAATATATAGTTGTTAGCATGATACGGGTTATGTTCTTCTCATATATTTTATGATGGTACGATACTAAACCCCTAACGGGAGGGATTGTGCTTGATTTTCATATGATGAAGACATAATCTTTCAATCAATCAGTTTAATGAGGTCTGGAGCTGGCATGTCAGTTACTGCTAGTAGTCCTTTGTTAATTTATGTATCGCCATTTTGCTTAGTTTCTTTTGTTGCCTATTCTGACATCAGATTCAGACTTCTTTTAAACTGAGTTTTACTGTGCGTATTGCTGTGTGTTTGTTTATTCTGCATTGGCTATAGGTATAGGGGGAGGCTTGAGATCTCACAAAACATGTTAACCCCGCCCTATTTTTGCGCCTGTCCCAAGTCAGGAGCCTCTGGCCTTTGTAAGTCTTGTATGTTTTTTAATTTTAGTTCATTTATATGTTTTGGAGTTTAGTATGATGTCCATTTTCACTGAGCTAGTACACGTTTTTGTTTAGGGGCCAGCTGAAGCCCGCCTCCGGGTGCGGGATTTTCTCGCTGTGTTGAAGACCCATTGGTGGCCTTCGGCTGTTTTCTGCTCTTCTGTCAGGTTGTTGTCTCTTTGACACATTCCCCATTTCCATTCTCAATTTTAGTTGAATGGTTTGCCTCTGTAACATAATGATTTTTATGCAGTATACAAAGTAAGTGGGCCACATTTAAGAAGGCTTAGTAATACAGCCTTGTTTTGAGCCACTGGTTAATTACATTTTATACCATATGCTTTGAATCACTTAAATTCAAGAATGCCTCTTTAATTTTTTCTAGGGATAATGAAACCCTTGCTAATTTAGCTGTAACCCATCAAGGAAGAATGTGCAATCCTGACCACAGTTGTTTGGTGGCCATAGATTCTGGACTTGTCAGTACAGCAATCACCATGACTCATGACTTAGGACATTTGTATGTATATCAATGTATCTACATTATATAAAATCATATCTGGGGCCAAATTTTAGTGAAATGCATTTTAGATAATATTATTTCAGAGTTAGAATTCAATGTTCAACATTATTTATGCAAGAACAAACAATGGCCTCTTTAGAGCCCATTTATCAAACTTCAACAAGAATATTTCTGAAAGTTTTTTAAAAAATAGCATCAAATGTCTTATAGAAATTTTTTTTTATAAAATCTTGTTGAAAGCAGAAGCAAAGAATTTTCTTAGGGAAAAAACATATTTTTTGAAACATTGAATAGGTTTCTTTTTAATAATTGAACTTCTGCTTTCAAATTTTTATTGCCTATTTAGATAACATTTCTGTGTTTTACAGGTTAGGCATGATTCATGATGAAAATACTCCCTGTGGAATCAGTAGAAATATTATGAGTACGCAGGGTTATACAGGAAGCATGGGATTGCACTGGTCAACATGTAGTTCCAGAGCATTAGATAGATTCCTAAAGTAAGATATTGTCTGTCAAAATTAATAAATAGAGTTTATAACAGTACCATATAAGTAGACAATTTTATTACTGTAAATTCAGAAATTGTTGGGTGCATTTTATTTTTTATTATCGCGATTTTTTAAGATGGATAAAAATGAAAGATTAAATATTGTGATTACAGGAAAATCTTCATATGGGTATATGTCTCATAAGGAAGAATGCAAGTTTTTATTATTGCGATACTCACCAAATTTGCATTATTCACATTAATAAAAACCTGATAATAATTTCTGAATTAACAGTATACCTATGATATCATGATATGTTGGTCAGAGGTAATGAATGCATTATATATTGAGCAATGAGGAAGGATTCCAGGCTGCTTTCCTTGAAGCACTAAAAGTAATAAAGTAGTTTTGGATTGGGATCATTTGTAAATTATCTTAACACACAACAGTCTGTGATGCATCAGTGCACAGTGAGTACAGGATTATTTTGCACTTAATTATTGCACAGCTACAATGTTATACCATAAGTATTTGTCACTATAGTCTGCTATATATTTAAAAAAAAATTATTGTGAAGTCATTTCTGGTTGGTTATTAAATCAACTTGGTACCAATAGATGCAGAATTGTCACAGGTTTATTGCTTATTTGGTTATATTTTTGTTGTGGAGTGTTCTCATTTTCTGATGATATAAACATAAGGATTATTTTTAATCCTAAAATTTTATATATATTTCAACCAAATTAGAAGTTAAAGAATTATTAAACATGTTCACATCAGAAGAAAACAAACCAACTGAAGACAAAACAATGACCAATAAACAAATAGACTTCAGACAATTCTGTGTTTGTTAAAATCCAACCATAAAAGTCATCAAAATCATTTTTTTGAAATATATAGCAAAAAATTATTGGTGACACATACTTATTGCATAAAGCTGTACACATAACAACATGCCTTACTTCCAAAAATATCTCCAACCTCTCACCCTTAAAATATGAAAAATTAACTGCTCAAACGAGTGTTGTTTAATTGTCCAGAAATCAAAATTTTCTAATTGTTATTTCATATTTAAAAATGTACAATATCATTTCATTCAGGAATTTGTCGTACCAAGAATAACTGTTCTATCAAATGTACTTTTAGAAGTAGCAGTTCATCATGTTTAAATGATTTCCCATTACAAATAATGCCAGGACGTCAAAAGATTTATGATAAAGATCAGCAGTGTAGATTTGCCCATCATGATACATCTTGTGGCTTCAGCTTGCCCAATAAGGTTTGGATGGTTTTATTTATACATGTACTTAATTTCACTACTGGTAATTTGTTGCTAAAAGATAACCAGAACAATAAATTTATGCCCATATATTTCTGCAATTGCATTGAACAGATAAAATTGAATTATTAGATCAGCTTTAACTGAGAGCTGTTTCATAAAAACATACATGAGACCCAGGGAAAGCACTTTGAATGTCAACTATGGGTGGGTGTTAAAATAATTTTGAACAGTGAAAATGTAATGAGAAATTCTAAATTGCCTCTATAGTTAGTTACCCCATTTTTAAAGTGCCTTCCCTGGGTACCATGCATGTTTTAATGGAACAGCCCTAAGGAATACTGTTGAATGAATTTACTAACATACAAGTATAAATTCAATCATTCCTAAGCTCAAAATTAAGAATTTTAAATTCAACATTTTAGGAAAAAATTAATAAAACTGATATGATTACAGGATCCATGTGAAAGTCTGGCATGCCAGGTTCCAGATAATGAGCATAAATGTATAACAGGAGCACCAATGGCGGATAAAACTGACTGTTTCAAAGATGGTCAACTCAGGGTGGGTATACCATTTAGTCTACTTTTTTCTAAACTCTGGGCAATTTAGAGTTTGACAAATTGTATATATACACCTATCTATTGTTAAAAACTGTATGTTAACCTCTTTTTTATGTTTTTATGGATAAAAAATAATGTACCCTTTTTAATTACTGAATAATGTTATATTTTTTTCACTTTCAGTGGTGTATGAAAGGAAAATGTATTCCATATACAGGTCATTGTAATACACCAAGCCATTGGTCAGCCTGGGGAGCATGGTCAGATTGTAGCAGACCATGTGGTGGTGGTATTACCCATCGAAGAAGAACTTGTCAAAATAAGTAGGTTACAGTTACTTACTATTTGATGATAGACAAATTGCTGTAAATTCGTTTATTTTCGTGATTTCTAGTGCCAATCTTTTTACCAAGGTTTTATTTTTTAAAGATTTTTCTTGTCTGTGTTTTTAATCTTCTTTTAAAGAACAGATCACACAAAGGAATATTTTCATGATTTTATCTTTATTGTGAAATTTAAGCGAAAAATAAACCATTTGGATTCATTTTTCATAAAGTACATATGCACCTGTATAAGAAGTAGTTTATACAAACTTGCCTTTGTAGTTGTGTATGGTGTAAATTTTGTGCTGTGTTAATTTTTGTCCCATAATGTAAACATACTTTTGAAGTTTTTATAGGTGGTGTCTTATTATCTGTAATTGTCTATTGGTATGTAAATATGCCTATAATTTTATTGTGTCCGTGAACAAAAGATTTTAAGTCACCAATGGCAGGCTTACTAATCTTGAGACATATTTTATTTAACTACCCCCTAGACCAAATTTCAGTATGTAAGCCTTCCATTGATAAAATGAAATGCTTATGTTCACATCAACCAGTATTTTTAGCAGAATACATGTTATATGATAATTAATATACTTTTAAAATTAGGAAACATAATGACCTCCAATAATCTGTACTTCTAGGGTAGGAAATATTTTATGAAAAATATGGATGCCAGGATTATAAAGATACTACCCTTAAATCACTTTTTTAATGATAAATTGTCTGCTGCATTTTTAATTTTAGGGAGTGGCCCGAAGGATTGGCAGTTCAGAGTTGGCCATATACTAGAAAATTCCTAACAATGACCAAATGAATATTTATCAGGATGTTTAAAAGAAAACCATTGTAATGACCATTTATTATTTATCAGGATTTTTGCAAGAAAATGAATGTATTATGTGTTAAGAACTGAACTGCATTGAAATTCTTTTCTTAGGCAGGCTGTTTGTGCACATGATTGTATCGGAGAAAAAGAGGATGTCAGACTCTGTAACATGAAGGTAAGTAGACTTCATTTCTCAACAATGAAACAAAGTAATGAATTTCTAAATTTCTTCACCTTGATATATGGAAATTGTAAATATCCAAACTGGAGGTGCATAAAATTGTTTTGGTAAATCGTCTTATTGTTTCCTTTATGTTAAATATTTACAATATATATGCCTGAAAAAGCATTGATTTTTTAAGAAATTGTTTTTACTCCTAAAATAGCTGTTTGCATTTACTGTTTTATTTGGATAAACAGAAAAATCTTTATTTAGATTATATTTAGTTTGAGAAAAATTTTCAGAATTATAGAACCAAACGAAATCTTAAAACAAGCATGTGTCCATTGTACACGGATGCCCCACTCGCACTATCATTTTCTATGTTCAATGGACCGTGAAATTGGGGTCAAAACTCTAATTTGGCATTAAAATTAGAAAGATCATATCATAGGGAACATGTGTACTAAGTTTCAAGTTGATTGACTTCAACTTCAGCAAAAACTACCTTGACCAAAAACTTTAACCTGAAGCGGGACAGACGGACGGACGGACAGACGAACGGATGGACAAACAAACGGACAAACAGACCGAAAAACATAATGCCCCTCTACTGTCGTAGGTGGGGCATAAAAATAAACTTTTGTAATTGTAGGTTATCTAAGGTTCCATTCATATGGAAAATTACATATGTACTCCAAAATTCTTCACAAACAAGTAACATTTAATAAACACTCAGATGACCATGACAAATTACCTTGTTGTTTTACTCTTTTAACTTGACATTGGTCAATCAACACAATATATAATATGATAAAATATGATATATGACTACAGAGTATTTTGCTCATGGAATTTCAAGTTTCCTGGTTAACAGGAATACAAAAATGTACTTCTTTGTTAATACATCATTTCGTTTTCTAAAATTACAGCTTCATATTTATTGTTAAATGTACAAGAATTTAATCCATGATGAGTGAGATAGGATCAGGTCAAAAAATGATATAAAAGCTATAATGGTGATAAATAGCTTTTTGAAATACACTTGCCAATATTTTAGGGGACATGGCATTTGTTTAAACTTATTTTATTTTTAAAGTCTTCATAATATGCAGTTTAGTGTAAAATAAACAATATTTGTCAAGAAAAGGTCATTTGCAATGTTAAAGAAAACGTACTGTTTATACTTATTCAAAAAGGTTGTATATCTTTTGTACATAACATTTTTCAGATATGTAAACAGAATCTAAATGACCTCAAAACAAAGTGGTGTGAATCTCACAATACAGAAACTGGTATGTTGTAAATAAATGGATTTAATCAGACGAATATAAATTAAAGGTTAAATTTGCCACAGAATCAAAGTATATGGCAGTTCTTGTTAGTTCACTAAAATGAGAAAAAAAAATACTATGATATTTGTTTATATTCAAATCAGTGAATTTTCAGTATAATACTGTGAAGGGGTTTATTTTTGCTGTTTAAGTTTCACAATTTCTAGGACAAAACCTGTTTGTGAGGTTTTAATTTTAAAGTTAATGAGTAGATTAACCTGTGACAGGACTTTTCTGATTTGAAGATATGTTCCTTCAAATTGTAAGTGGTAAGAAAATCCGTGCAATCTTATTCTTTCAAACAGTTTTGAGTATTGACGCTGCCTTTGCAAAAAAGTAACATGTATTTATCAAAATATAACTTTTAAATATTTACTTGTTATTTTTTAACATTGTAAATTTTTCTTTTATTGCATCCTGTATAGGAAACTATGAATGCTATTGCAGAGTAACACAAGAAGGGACATGGGTAGCTTATCCTGATGGTTTCGACTTGTATCCAAAACTTTCTTCACATAATATTAGTAAATGCTTCAAAGGAAAACTTCAGGTAGGAATATATAGTGACTTTTTATTGTGGAAATTTATGATTAAGAGAAAATGGGTGGTCAAAGTCTATTTACACAGCAATCTAATGTATATGTACCAAAAAAAAACTAACATTTAGAGCTAACAGCAGAGTTGTCCAGATTGAAGTTTGACCAATGTGGTGTATATTATGGTGATGGTAGTAGTGTCAAGAACATCATGCAGGTCAATACACAAAATATCAAACATTTAGAGATGTTCTTTTGTTGTTGTATTCTATGTTCAGCCTATAATAGTAGGGACATCATATTTTACAACCTATGTTTCAGTCCATTAGTATGTCTGTTTGTCAGTCCTGTATCAGGTTAAAATTTGGCTTAAGTTAGTTAACCATGAATGTGTAGTCACATCAACTTGAAGTTTTTTATGTTGTGAACCTTTTGGCTCATATTTTGTGGTTCACAGAACACAGAAATGTAATAGTATGAGTGGGGCATTGTGTCTTATTGATACTTATTCTTGTTTTTCTATTCTTTAGTTGTTTGTCATCCAAACTCTATTTATTTTATTTTGCAGTCCTTTGGTTGTGATGGGAAGATGGGATCTGGATTGAAGTTTGATCAATGTGGTACGTGTCATGGTGACGGCAGCATGTGTCAAGAACATCATGGTCAATACACAAAATACCAAACATTAAAAGACACACCTTGTAAGTTTTACTTAAACATGTTATAATACTATTTACTCATGATTTGAGACATTGTTGGGGATGTATGGAAACTTGAAGGTGTTCACCTTCTCCATGGGTTTTTTATTGGGTAGTTGTGAGCGGCCGGGCACTATTATACTAAAATCTTTTTTAATATCAGCTACATTCTGAGCTAGGACAAGTAGATTTACCTTTGTCCATCAATATTTCTATCAGTCTGTACAGTTCTATTATGTTTTGCATTTATCCATCACTGAAATCAACGATGGAATATCAGTGATTTTTCAGTATAGTACTGGAAAGGGGTTTAATTTTGCTGTGTTTAATATTCATGATTTTGAGGACAAAACCTGTTTTTGAGGTTTTAGTTTTTGCATTTGTTGTGTCTATGATAATGATCTCAGGGCTTACGCTAGCAGGCAACTGGGGCGAAGAAGTCGCTTTCCCGCCCATCACTTCGCTTTGTCCGATCGTCAAAAGTGATATCTAGTCGCCCTAGTGTTCACTATAGTCGCTTTCAGTCGGTTTCGTCATAAGCCATTTTCAGTTTTTACCAAGAAGACGAAACAGCAATTTTTCATTTATAAGTAAAGAAATTCAAAGACATAAATGATTTATTTCTTTAGAAAAGAGGTGAAAGTATGGATTGATTATATGACAACTTTTTATCACTTCCGGTACTTGTATTTTAACTCGAGAGCATACATAAAAAAATTCTGAATTTCAGCAAAATAAGTTTGTTTATTCATTTGTACATGATGAAAATTGCCTTTGGTTAATGATTAATCCATTTATTGCATTAAAAGCGTCATATTCCTTTCCAAATTGCTTGTCAAACATCGTTTATATATAACTAGTAAATTTTCTTCATCCGCCATTAAAATATTTGTGCGAACTACGGATCGGAGGCGGGATTCATCGGAAACGGACCAGCTATGATCAAAATCTGGATTCTTACTACCGGTATAATAACTATGGACGCACGAATGGCACAACTGACAGAAGAATAATGATCCCAAAAGGGAAAATTATGCATTCAATACGCATTAACAAACTTTTGGTTAGATCTCATTGCTTGATGTGTTATATTTCCATGTATATGCATTATTTTAATTTATTGATTAAAGTTGCTTAACCTTGTTAAATTTAGATATCTTTTTAATGAGAAACAATGAGTTTCATAAACATGATAAACAGAATAGTTTTTTAACTAAACTTTAATTGATATATAATACTTTCTTTTCCTTTTTGATATAACAACAGTTCTTTTTAGTGCTAGGTATTTAGTTGGTAGTTTCTGACTAATATAATTGTGCAACTATAAATGATTATTTATTAAAGACATAAACTGAAACAACTGTTCACTTTAATTATATACTCAGATTTGAATTGAACAATATAAAAAAATGAATAAAAAGGATACGTATGGCCCTTTATAATATAGTAAAAACCAAACATTGTAGTGCCGCGAGCGAACGAGCACTTTTCTTTCAAATCTCACCACTTCTCCCTATCAGTTTCAAAAAGAGAAATCACTTCTCCCTATGATTCTGAAGTAGTGTGAGCCCTGTCACAATGGATCTTCTCTTAAAAAAAATGAAATAAGCCAAAATAAATCCCTCAAGAAAAGTTCCAACTTTACAGAAAACTTTTAGATAGTACAATACTGCTTACATCCTTTGAGTAACTATGACTTACATTTCATGTTTCAATAACTTTTGTAAATTTTTCTGTTCAAGGTCATCACTCAACAGCCCTTATAATGCATTTTACATTTCAGTATTATGTTTCTGTTATAAGATGCAATATATTTCTATAATAATTGGGTTGCTATGACCTGCTCTTCACACTTCAGCAACTTTGGTAATTTTTGTCTTCACATCAATTTCTCCAAAACCTTTTGATAGTATATGGATAGCTCACTCCTGCTGTGAAAAAAAATTCTTAGGAAAAGTGTTTTCAGTTCAAAAATTATGTGCATTGGGTCTTTAAAGAGGTGCAAATTGAGGGCCCAAAGAATAAAAACTATAAAATTCTTGGTTTTTTTTTTTTTATTTTTAAAACGCTTTCAGCAATATGAATTGATGGATAACCCCAATTGCATGTAAATAAGTATACTTTCTTTATAGATAATTTAAACAGGGTACCAGAAGGGAAATTGGTCCATTATAGGAACTAAAAGGAGATATTTACATTGTTTTTACAAAAATAATTATTTTTCAGCAGTATTGTTGGGAAGATTTCCCAAATAGAAACCAATCAGGTTTGGCGTGATAAGGGGTGGACCACTAATTAATATGCTCCAAAAAATAGAGCGTGTTAGCTAATTTTAAAGGAGCAAATTATGAATTAAAAAAAAGTATCATAGAAACAGTATAATATTTCTCCAATCACAAAAATTGATACCAATGAAAAGAATGCATTATTTTTTAGTTTAACTCATATTATTTAGTTTAATGGAAAAAGTTGTACCAATCATAATGTTATTATTATCATCTTGTAGTTTTAATCCACACAGTACCAGCAGGATCTACAGGAATAATTGCCTCAAACCATAATACAGACTGGACACAAATTGGTAAGTCAGATTGGGCTATATTATATTCACATGCCTTCTGTTCGTACTAAGTTGTCCAACAAATATTTCTGTAACACTTTTCTCAGGTACAAATGAACAGAATGACTTTATATTTGGCCATTTGCTTGACAGCAATGAGTTGTAATGTCTGAACATTTTTCTATTCTGTTAGACTTCTGCTTCCTGTTTGCCGATACTTTGAATTTTCTATATGTTGAATGAACTTAAAATTTTTGCAGATACCTTTAGTTACGTGTAGGAAGTATGTTAAGCACTACAACATGACTGCATTCTTGTTAATCTTTAAAGTCCAATTTGTTGAACCAGAAATGCAAAGATGATAATCTGGGTATTTTTGCTTACAATAGTTGTTCTTTAACATTTGATGATCAGCAGTTTTAAAGTCTGGAATTTGTTATTTCACTGAAGTGGTCAAATTTGGATGTAAAATATTGAGCTGGTGTATTGACTTTGTGCAGTAGTCATTGTTTCCAATGGCAGTATTTCTCGTCACATTGTTTGGATAGAACCTATGTTTCTTGTTGTTTATTCTCTTTCAAATTTGAATAAAGATTTATTCTTACCAAAGCCCTGTACGATTTTGTTTATAGAAAGTATTGAAAAAGGGACTAAAAAGTGGGAATAGGGTATGTGAGTTTGTTGACTAAGGATCATTCATTCTGTATGTGTTATTATAAATATATATGATGTTATAGTTACATGTTTAAGTAACATGAGTCATATTAAGCAAAAAGAACATTCAATGCTTGATTATTATAAAAATTCTTAATAAGGATAATTTTGGCTTGTTGGGTTTCTCTAGGTGTAACTTTATGGGAGATGGATGTTTAGCATTGCCTCGTTAAACTTATGGAATATTACTTTTGGATTAGAATATTGGAAAGAAGCTTTGACTTTTTCAGCAGGAATTTGTGATTTGGGAAATTGAAACCTCTCCTATGATCCTGTCTCAACTGAAATTAAGATTTTTTTTAATAAATCAGGCAGAATTTGGAATGAGTATATAACTATATTGCCTGTACATTACACAATTGTATTTTATTTAGAAGCAGAATATGAAGAAAAGGGAGGAACTTTGAGGTTTGGAGATGTACTTAAAGATTTTCCTGAGCCATCTCTGTGGAATATAAGTTTATATGTAAGTCACTTAATTAAATTCTGATGGTTAATACATTTGAAAAGATCTTTTGTGTTCTGTCAGTGAGATTTACTGCATTGTTTGGTGTTTTATATGTAGCATTCTAAGGTCAAGGAACAGTAAATGGGCATTATATATATGTCACACTTTGTGGTAAAATTTTGCATACAACTTTGACACTAACACCTCTAACTAAAAACATGAAAACAAAAACAAAAAAAGTATTTCATAAAGATAAAAAATAAAGATCAATTAAAAATCAAATGGAAAACCTGTAAAGGTTGTACATGATTTACTGACTCACACTGTAAAAAGTTGAAAAGTAACATCACAGAAAAGCAAAACCTAAATACAAGATGTTGTTGCTCTGTTGTTTTAACATTTAACAAATATGTTGGGAATATTAAATTCCTAATGGGTGTTTTAATAAATTCCAAATATGTTGACTGCTGATTGTAGTTTGCTTAACTTCCAGTGGCAAATATTCCATACATAGTCATGACAAGAAATGCACTAAATCCTAGTAATTAGTGTACTTGTATTAGTATGACTCTGTCTAATTTTTCAGATTACGTATTTTGAATCTGTAGCGGCTAATGTTAGCTACAGATATGATACATCACTGCATCATACCAGCAAATACCAGTGGTCATCCAAATGCACATCAACAGCAGACAGAGGTAAGTATAATGTAAAATAATAACTAGTAAATTAGTAAGTAGGTAGTGACTTTATTTTAGAGGATAACACAGTTAGTATAAAACTAATCTTCTCAGAGGCCCTCTGACAACTTAAAATCAAATTATATACAAATAAACAATGAAATATATAAAAAAAACCATTGTGTTTATACTGTAAATTCAGAAATTATTGGGATTTTTTGTATTAATGCGAAATGTGAGTTTCAGGTTTGTAATAATAAAAACTCATATTCATAATAATTTCAGTAGTGATTTAATTTCACCTTGTTCACAGAATTATTGGGATCTCATTGATTGGATTTCAATTTGTTTACTAGTAATCAGTGATTCACAAAAATAAATGCATGCAGTAATATCTGAATTTACAGTATACAATATTGTAAGCCCATCATGTTAAATTTGGAATACTGTTAAAAGTAATGAAAATATTTAATAAAATTTAGAAAATCCTGAATAAAAATTGCCTTAAATTGTATAGAAAGGGCTAATACAGTATTCTCAAAAAGAAAGTTAATTTACAAGTAGTGTTAAAAAAAAATTTAGGATTTGGAAAGAAATTGTTAATAAGGATCATATGAAATATTTGGTTTACAGTATTTGAATATTAAAACAGATATTGATTCATAGCAGATTTCTTGGAAGCACTTGAAGTGCAAATGAGATGCAGGTTAAGACTAAGTGTAGTATTAATCCAGTATCAAAAATAAAAAGTAGTCTTTTAGAGCAGTTAGTGGAATGGTTTAAAAGCAACTAAAAACTTCTCTTTTCAATTGTGCGAAAGGTCCATGGGCAAACTCTTTCATATGCAAATTGATTGTCTTACCAAATTGGTTCTTAAATTCCATACTGAGAAAATTCTGTCATTCTCCAATTACAAGCAGATAAAACATACCACAGATTTAAATACCCAATGAAATACATAAATTTTCTATTATTTGTTATGTTTAAAGTCTCAAACCATGAATTTCTGTGGATTCATTTATTTTCTTGGGTACCAATTTTTGTGGATTGAGGAACTGGTTTATTTTTGCTTATAACTGATTTCATGGTTTTGCCAAATTTGGCATAGAAGCCTATAGAAAATTTGCACTTTGTTGAACATTTGAATTCATGGTTCATATTTAACCACAAAATCTAAGAAGATTGATATCCTACAAATAATAATGAACATTGCAATATCTGACTAGAATATTGTTCTGGATTTTTGTTCATGTTTGCCCACTCTCTTGACACCGGGGGTGATTGCCACATTTTGATTCCCATCCAATTCTCAATCAGATTCACGTACTTGACCACAAGGAACAGTATCAAGGTTATGGCAATTTGCATACTTTTTACCAAATTTTTGAAACAAAGAAAATTTTGCTAATACTCTAGTACTTGATATTTAGTCAGACAACCTCTAATTAAAAATTTCATGTATTTACTGTCATTACAAGCTTGTTTTCAAGAACCATATTTTGAATTTGTTCATATACCCTTTAGGTCTAATTTGGCAATAAACAGTAATGTAATTTGTATTGTATTTTATAATTTTGTAGTAATCAGTTGCATGGACACAAAACTAAATGCTCTAGTAGAAGACAAACACTGTTATTTGTTCACTAAACCAGATCAAAAACCATGTCAAGGTAAATATTACCCTATTCCAAACCATTATTGCAAACCTGTCTGTATCTAATCTATATATTCTTAAGGTGTGAAACAAAATTCCCAAGGTTAAACAGCTTGAATTGAAAGAGTTCTACCTGGGCAAGTATGTTTTGCAGCACAGTTTTATTGCCTTGCCTGTAATGAAATCATGTGAATGAGACTTAGGCATTGCCATCAACAATTTGTTAAAAGTTTGTGAGAAGGTCATTTAATGGGAAATTACTAATGGTAAGTCAATGATATTTGGTATGCATGTGTACTATCATTGGCTTTCCATGAAGATCATCAAATAGCCAAATGTACTGAATAACACCCAGACATTACAATTGTTAGTAATTATTTATAATTTATAAAGTAGAAAAAGAAATAAATAAAAATGGTTGAAAATTCATGACACAGTATATTCCATATCAGTCCAAGATATTAACTGGCAATCACTAGTCGTGTTCTCTGCCAATGCCTCAGGCTGATATGAAGAGGCGATTTTAGGGTGGGGTATATGTATGCCAGGGGGCCTGCCCCCTCTTATGGAGCTACATATATTGTTTATGCATAGACTTTTTACATGTTGCACTCAAAAGGTTGCCTAGTTTGGGTCATATTTTTCTCATGAACTACAAATCAGTGCTCCCTTAAATTTGAATGTAAGTTTACCGTGGGCATGCTTTACTGTGCAATGCATTTTCACATGTAGCCTTCATCAATTTCCTGTTTACCAAATACTTATATAGTCATACACATAATGGCCATGCATGAAATTTCCTTCTCATTTTACTCAATAACTACTTATCAGAGCTTCCTTCAATTTGTTAGCAAGCTTCCTGTTAGCATGCTGTATAGTGACAGATAAGTGTGACTCATTTTCACATATGTGCCTCATCAACTTTCTGTTTACCAAATACTATATATATATATTCTTGCACAAAATGGCCATGTATGATATTTTCATTGCATTTTTCTTAGGGCTTCCTTAAATTTGATTGCAAGCTTCCTGTGAGCATGACTTGTTTTTTTCATTTATCACTCATTGACTTCCTGCTTACTGAATACTTGTATATTCCTTTATATAATTGCCATGTATGACATTTTCTCATGAACGTAGAATATGAACACCTGAATTGGTTTCCTCTTTTCTGTAAGCATACTGTGATGAGTTTTCTCATACATTGCTCTTTTACTTAACTTAAAGCAGGGGTATCATTAGCTCACAGTTCAACTTTTATTTCTCAAAAAGCACTGCTGTCCAATCAGAATAGTTTGATGCACCAAACTTGAAAAATATAATTAGAAATAGCACTTAACTACAAGGGTCAGCCCTCATGGTTGCATCATTGTGCAGAATTATAGATGTGGTTTGAATAATTTTAGTTTGAAAGACCTTTGTCACTACACTGTTAATCAATTAGCTAGTGGTGTTAGTCATTTAACTGGTAGAGTATTAACTGGACCTTAGATAAAGGAGCACTAAGGCTGATTGTAATTAATAGCTTGAAGGTTTCCAAGTAAAGGTGAACTTACTGTGCATAAAACAGTTCAACTTGTACAATATTAATCACTGACTGAACATAAGCAGTGAAACTTTTTTTATGTTAGATTGTGGAATTATCAATAGGAAATTTTTTTCCACACAATATTTCATATTATTGTCTGTGGTTTATCTGAATCAGATCATCTTAATATACATTTCATTTTATTTTTTTCAGGGAGTGACAGATGAGTGGACAGATAATAATTAACATTGTAAAACCATGACTGCTGTTATACATGTTATAAGAGTAATTTTTCCTTAATGGACATTCAGCTTATGTACATAATAAAAAAAATCATACTAAGTTTGTGTTAAAAATCAAATTTTATCAGAACAACAAAAGGGCCAGCAAGATCAACTGCCTGCCATGGTGGGTGTAAACTAACCTTTAACTTTTCCCAAAACAAATAGGTCATTTAGAATCTTATGTTACGGGTAAACTAAATTATTCTACCGTGAAGACACAATGTCAATTCTGTTTAAATGTATCAGGTACTACTACTAACTGCATCAAATTCTTATGGAGAATAAATCCTGTATATAAAATAAAATGCTCCGCTGGGGCGCAGCTTGATACGACCGCAGAGGTCGAACCCTGAACAGTTGGGGCAAGTATGGACACAACATTCAAGCTTATAACAGCTCTGAATTTGGATTGTGAATAAATATTTGACACAGCATAGGTTTCTGACACAGAATGAATGTGGTCTAAGAACTTAAAATTTGTTAATTTACCTATTCAAACCATATCATTATTATTTGCTTTTATATATAAATCAGAAATAACCAATTTAAAATGGAATATTTTTAAGAAAAAAAAGGAAAAAAAAATCCCCCCCCCCAAATTTTTTGAACCCCCTTATGATTCATCACCCCCAAACTCAATCCCAGCCTTCCCTTTTTGGTATGGTACCTTGCAGTACAACTTCAGAGAGATCCATACACTTGAACACAAGTTATTGTCTGGAAACTAGAAAAATGCTTGTTTTTAGGCCCCTTTTTGGCCCCAAATTCCTAAACATTTAGGGCAATTACCCCCAAACTCAAACCCAGCTTTCCCTTTGTGATATGGAACCTTACAGTACAATTTCATAAAGATCCATACACTTACACACAAGTTATTGCCCTGAAACTAGAAAAATGCTTGTTTTTTGCCCCTTTTTGGCCCCTAATTACTAAAATTTTGAGGGAATTACCCCCAAAATCAATCCCAGCCTTCCCTTAGTGGTATGGTACCTTGCAGTACAATTTCAGAGAGATCCATACACTTGAACACAAGTTATTGTCTGGAAACTGGAAAAATGCTTATTTTTGGCCCCTTTTTGGCCCCTTATTCCTAAACTTTTTGGGCAATTACCCCCAAACTCAATTCCAGCTTTCCCTTTGTGATATGGAACCTTGTAGTACAATTTCATAAAGATCCATACACTTGAACACAAGTTATTGTCATGAAACTAGAAAAATGCTTGTTTTTTGCCCCTTTTTGGCCCCTAATTCCTAAAATTTGGAGGCAATTACCCCCAAAATCAATCCCAGCATTCCCTTTGTGATATGGAACCTTGTGATACAATGTCAGAGAGATCCATAGACTTACAAACAAGTTATTGTCATTAAACTAGAAAAATACTTGTTTTTTGCCCCTTTTTGGCCCCTAATTCCTAAAATTTGGAGGCAATTACCCCCAAAATCAATCCCAGCATTCCCTTTGTGATATGGAACCTTGTGGTACAATGTCAGAGAGATCCATACACTTACACACAAGTTATGTATGGAAGTTACAAAAATGCTTATTTTTGGCCCCTTTTTGGCCCCTAATTCCTTAACTGTTGGTACCATAACCCCCAAAATCAATCCCCACCTTCCTTTTGTGGTATTGAACCTTATGGTAAAATTTCATTGAGATCCATTCACTTAAACTAAAGTTAGAGTGCGAAAACTAATGTGTCTTCGGACGACGACGCCAATGTCGACGCCAACGTCATTCCAATATACGACCACAAAAATTTTTTTGCGGTCGTATAAAAAGTGGAAACACTTGATTTTTAACTCCATTTTTGTCTCGCCTGGTATTACTATCCGGTGGCTGTGTAAACTATTTGTATAAAGCTTTTATATTTCAGAAGGTAGGAGACCTGGATGCTTCATATCTTGTATGCAGATACCTTATGTTATGAAGTTTCTGTCTGTCATATGTACATTGTACTTCACTTCATTTTCATGGTTCAGTGACTGCTTGGAAAAAAATTATAGTTTTTTCGTCATGTGAATTTCTCACTTATTATGAGTAATAGGATAACTTTATTTGGAATATAGGTTTCTTGCAACGTCTACATGTCTGTCAGACAGGGTTCACCTGACCTTGACCTCATTTCATGGATCAGTAATCAAGGTTAAAGTTACGTGATTAGGTCCATTTCTCAAATATTATAAGCAGTAGGTCAACTATATGTGGTGCATGGAATAATTGTAATGGGTACATGTCAGTTTGGCAGGTTTTATCTGACCTTGTCCTCATTTTCATGGTTCATTGGTCAATGTTAAGTTTTTGTGTTTTGGTCTGCTTTTCAAGTACTATAAGCAATAGGTCAACTATATCTGGTGTATGAAATGATTGCAAGGTGTTATATGTCTGTCTGGCAGGTATCATCTGACCTTGACCTCATTTTTATGATTCATTGGTTAATGTTAAGTTTTTGTGTTTTGGTCTGTTTTTCAATTACCATAAGCAATAGGTAATCTATATTTGGTGTTTAAAAAAATTGGACAGGATTTATCTGACATTGACCTCATTTTCATAGATCTTTCAAAATGTTAAGTTTTTGTGATATTAAGACTTTCAAAATAAAATCAATGGTCAGTAAAGCAGGCGAGACATTTCAGTCTGTGCATACTTGTTTTTTCATTTATTTTAGCCATATGACAGACAAAAAAATATTTCTATCTGTGATTGCTGATCGAAAACATTGCCTGCTAATTAAATTTCAGGTTAATTCCAAAGTTTACTGGTCAAGACCTTGATAAACAATCAACACTGAATCATGGAGCATGTGTATATAAAATTAGAAGATATAGCTATGTTTATTTGTTTTTTATTTACACTTTCCATGTGTTTCCATTTGTTAATTGAATTTTGTCATAACAGTTGATAAATGATTTGGTGTATTATAGTAAAAATAATTTGGGGAATCAGTAATACTATTTTCCTTCCACATGTATCTTCTTTTTCTTCCATCATGGATTTTCCTGTCGCACTTGCGATGTCTAATTGCCGATTTTTAACTAGGTTTCATTGTTAAGGTCACTGCATATGGAAAAGAGGTCTGCAATTTAGAGTACAGGAAGATATTAATTCAATAGAAGTACATATCTGAAGATTTGAATAAAATAAAGGATATTCTTTTAAAAATATATAACATATTCTTCCTTTTTGTTAAACTTGAATTACATGACTTAAAAAATATAGGGCCAAGTACAAGTCATTGAGTATTGTGGCAAAATTTCATAACTATAGGTCAAAGAGAACATGAGTTATTTGGAAAAAACATTGTCTACATATAGCCCTTCCATAAAAATAATTTGCAGAATAACGAATTTTACTCCAAAATTATAGTTTGAAGTTGATTATCTCCCTTTTTTGGGGAAGTAGAACTGCTTCACGGCAATGAAGCTCATTAAAGAATCAACGAAAATTAGTTTTAAATCCCTGTTGGTTTTAAGATAATATTTGGTTGATATAAATAAAAAATTCATTAATGGTATTTTGTATAATTCTTAATCAAACTCGATTCTAAAGCTGGAAATGTTTAATATTTTACTTCTCACTGTTGCTCTGCACAGCAGCAAACCAGTATTTATACCAGATTCGGCCTTTTGGAAGTGAGGTTCTAGAATGTCCTTTAGACAGACCACAATGACAACAACACACCAACACTCACCAAATTATTCCAGACATTCAATAACCTGCTGCCTTTATTATAGATTCAGTCAACTATGACAATATTGTAAAAGTTTTGTGTCCTGCTTCCAATTACCAAGTGCTCAATGTAACAGCTACACATTGTGCACACTAAAGTCATTGAAACATTAAAATGAGGTTTAAGACAACTGCATGATCAAAACTACGAAACAATATGGCATCTTCATTAAAAATAAAGATTGATAGCACTCGTACCTTCTGAAATGTACACCTTTGTATTACTTGTTTATGCCATTTTCACTTCGATTAAAATAGCATATCTGACTTGTCTTCAACCACAATCAGTAGAGACTACACATAAAACCAGACATTTAAGACATGTGTTTATTAATCAGATATATACAGTATAATACAATAGATAGCACTTTGTGCTGGGAATTATACCCTCATAAATAATACACAACATTAAATGATATAGATATGATATAACATATGTACTGCTGATCTCCAAACAGACACAAATGTAATATTACAAGATAATGATAATAGCAATCAATCTATGACGTCAGTATCAGTAAATATATACTAATTATATCCCATTAAAAAAACACCACAATGAGGAATATGATATATAAGAAAGCAGAACTGCTTTTTCTCTTAAAAAAATTGCAATTCCATTTTTAACTTAGGTTTCATTACTAGTGAAGATAATAATACTGTCTGCATACTAAGGAATAGTTTTCTGTGTGTCCGTTAACACTGGTAAACCCTGCCACATGCTGTTGTGTCTGTTTCAAGTCAAAAGCTTTGTCAATGATTGTCTTGAACTCTGGTGACTTTGACATTGGTATCTTTGCCGTACCTTGACCTATTATGGTTTACTTTTATAAATTGTTACTTGGATGGAGAGTTGTCCCATTGGCACTTATACCACATCTTCCTATATCTATTGTTAGTTGAAGACATTATTTACCTTCAAATGTCTTTTCTGGTTTTGGCTTGCTTTGTTGTATATTTATTCATAATAACCTTGTAAAACTAACATGGGTTACCGTACTAAACCTCAAATGAACAGAAATATAAATAAATACTGAATATACCTTGACCTACATGAACTGATGTTACAAGAATGTCTATGTGTATAAGAATTTCAGTCATTTAAGCTAGAACCATATCAAATTGATTTAATCCAATGTAGTTTGTTTACCATTGTACCAAGGACATGTATGTTTTTCAATCAAAGAGCTTGTTAGCTCTAAGGGAAATCAAGATACAGAAAAAGGAGAATAGAAATAACCCAATTATATGACAGTAAAACACAAACCCCCAACTACTCCAAAAAAAATACAGAAAACATACTTCAGTTATTTGGAAATATACATGCAAGAAATATTATCTATTTTTTTTACATTTAAAATTCCATAACTTTGAAATAACAAATAAAGTGAACATAGATGAAATGTATTCAGACTAACATTCCTAATAAAAAGCTTATACCGTCTGTGAATGTTTTTTTAATATATGAAAAATACTGTATTGCATGTTTAAAACAATTAACCATTTAACATCATCTCTGACAACATACCATATTTTAAATCCCATAAATAACAAAACACTAAATGCTGAGATAAGTGATGCACATTAAAAATAGAATATTTGTGAAAAGCCAATGTGACAAAATTTATCAACAATTTACAGAACTTGACTCACAACACAAGAATTTTAAAGGAGTCATACATATTCATTTTTATTTTTATAATGATGTGGAGAACAGTTTATAGTGTCTAAATTTCTATTCTAATCTAAATTCAAAAGTGAAGTTTATGACAACTTGTCATTCTATAGCCTATATTTCAACAGATTAGACTTGAGAACCTAAACTATATATATATAAAAGCATTATTTTAATAACCTTATGACCAAGTCAATATTTTTTCGTACCTATATTAAATGGCAATATTATGAAATATTACTCACATGAATACTTATATAATATTCTTTCATTCTAAATTTTGCCCATACACACATGCACTCCTAACTTTACTACCATCACAAATAATAACAGAGTATCATACAGACAGACACATATATAGCAAATCGTCCCATTTTATAATAATAATAACATTAATCTTTAACATCAACAAATAATATAATCTTTATCCACCAATAAATACAAACTCACAACAAACAACATACATCACTTGTCATATGACAATAATATGACCGAGCAAACAAAAAATAAAGAAATTTGTCAAGACTATGGACATATTTATCAAATACAATGAATAATTCTAAAATATGTTAAATATTCAGGCATAAATCTAGAAGTAAAATGGCTCAATTTTTTTTTTTTTTCTCTCTCTTCTCTCAATGGACATAGAAAAAAAGGTGATTTCTTTATTAGGGCACACAAAGTTTATTTATTAATCTTTCACACTGCAAGTTCCTAAAATTTCCTAATTCAATTCCTATTTTTTGGATCATTTTTATTCCCCAATTTGCACTTACTAGTTGTAATTTTTAATTTAAAAAAAAAATTGGAATCTGCATCTTAGAAAATAATAGCTGGTCCTCATAAAATCCTAACTTAAAATACAAGAAAATTAAGTTTGTTTTTTGCTCAGCATGTTTCAAAGATGGTGAATAATTATTTCATATAGAAAAAGAAACTGTTTGCTCAACCTTTATCAAGTATGAAGAAATTCGAAGAAAACAAATTTAATTTGGTATGGCCTAATGGGTTAAATGGGAAAAGTAAAAAATGATAAAAAGAATGTTTTCAAATTTGCTCTCATTATAAAATTCTAGATAAGTTTCTATCTGTTAACAATTTTGCATTACTATATTTTAAGGAAGGCATAATTTTGTTTCTCTGTCTGCTGCACATTCTTTTTATGTCTGCTCTACAGACACTGAGAACAAATTAGTTTTGGTTTTAGAATATATATTTTTGTTGTCCACATACTTGTTTCTTCAATTACAATTCACAAATAATTTTATCTTGCAAAGCTGTTGAAAAACTTTTTGTGAAAGCAGTTGCAACATCATGAGGCATCATTTACAAAGTAAAGCTATTTATTGCAACAGAGTATTGTTTTTCTTCAAGAACTTTGATATATATTGCAATGTTCTTACTCTTGACATATCATGGAATGTGTTTATCCTGAATTTTTCATTTTCTGCAAGGCAGCTTTCTAACTAATATTCAAATTTCAATAAACAGCAAAATATTTTATTATCAAGCCCTAACTACCTTTATATGAATATTTATAGTCTTAGAGAAAAGCTGCAGCAAATGGATGGAAAATTAACATAAAATTGTCCTCGGTTCAATGGCATAGTCACAGAAAGCTCCTCACTGCATCTTATTTGCTTCATATTTTGTTGTCATTATTTCTTCATCAGAATCCAATAAACTTGGTAAAACCCTGTCAGAAAAAAATATGACAAAATATTTAAATGAATGTGAGAATGTACTGACTACAAAATGGTCATGAGTGTACATGTATGAATGTTATTCAGAAGACATGTCTCATTTGAACTCTTCTTGGTATCATTTTTTGCCACATGTTCAAGTGCCTGGCCTGTATGAAGTCACTGAACTTGTCAATGGTTGCTTTAAATTATTTCAATGATGTTTTTTTCGTGTTGATGGCAGATCTTTGAAAGTTTCAGACTATTCCAACTTTCCTAGTCTCGGAGCAATTAATAGATTGACATATTGTAGAGACTTGTCTATTATGGAATACCATATACCATCATCTAGATGTCTTTTGGCTGTTTGTGTTGTTTGGTTGCTGTTTCATTGACATACACCCCATATCTCTTTTTATTGATATTTTATATTAAATCCTCAATATGCCTTCTTTGTCTTAAGGGGATTTTTTATCCCCCCCCCCCCCCCCCAGATGCAGCAGGGTCATGGTAATATGTCTCAAATAAAACATTAAGAATTTTTTTTCAAACTAATTAGACAGGAATTTTTTTTCCAATTTTTTGTTCTTCAATTACAACCTTATATAAAATATCAATATTCAAACACATGCACTAGATGCAAATTTAAAACTATATACTTTTATAACACTTTAATTTCTACAATGTATACATACTTATCAGTTATGGACGATGGAATATTTTCTTCAACCCACTTCAAGTCATCATCCTGTTAACATAAATTTAAGATTATATTATATATAATTTTCAAATTTTGCATTCACATACATGTAAATATAAATCTGGAAGCGTTCAGTTTATATGTACTTGTAAAACATGGTAAGAAGCTCCAATTTAACTTATGAACAGTAAAGTTTTTCAACTTAGAGATTTTAAACAATGGCACTTTACTTTTTCACCGTTATCTTTTTTCTGACATTACATTACATAACCATGTTACAGTTGATACTTTAAAGTATATATCTGAATAATTCCTTAATGTCTGCATGCTGTCGAATAAAAAGTGAATAACTTACTGGATTATTTCTCAGTTTAGGAGATCCATTTGGTTGTCCTTTCACATTTCTCATCTTCATGCCATCTGAAAAATATTAATTTAGACTTCTTGCAGGTTAATCAACATTTGATTATTGTATTCTATAAAAAAGGTCATTCTTTGGGGGATACCTTATCATACTTGGATACTGTTTCATTGTCAATAAAATATGTTTTTCTTCTAGAACTAATGGCAATGAAAGCTCTTGTTATGATAAAATTCTTATGAACTTATTTTTAATATCCAAACTGACTGAATCTGGTTGTGATCATTATATCTGTTAGTTTATTCATCTATCTACACTTTGTACAGTAACTTCACCTAAACTAGTCACTGGATGTCAATGAAATTTTCAGAGAACCTGTAGTCCAAATATAGCATTGTATTTCGTCTACTTGGAATTTTATCAAAATTAATTTTGAGGTTTGTGATATATGAAAAAAAGGGAATCATTTTGACAACAACTCTTTAACCACAGACTGGATTTCAATAAACGTTTTACAAAATCTTCCTTGCCTAATGTCATTCAGCAATTCCTATTTCCATTCTTGATCTGAATGATTTTTTGGTTTTCCAATGGCAATCTTTGCAATTCTATACAAAACAGGGGAAGGGGCACAATTTGTGAGACTTGTGAGTTGTCTAATTCAAATTAGAACATATATGAAGATTTTCTAGACCATGCTTTCTATTCAAAAATGGCAAAAAAATCAAAAAGTATCTATGATAAACATAATGGTCAGCTCTGTAACCATAAAAAGATTCAACACTTAGATTCAAGCAAGTTATGTTTACAGAAGCATAATTTACAACTGATAATACAGCTAAGCTACTTCAAATGAATTGACAAACAGCTGGCTGATTAATACTGTAATCGTATTAAATGTGAATTGTTTAAGGCTTTAGAGATAGCATTTTAACAACATAATAACAATTGAAAAAATATATAATGTAAAAGAGGGATGAAAGATACCATAAAGTTCATTGCGTTTCTACTTTTCTAGGTTCTGCTCAATTTCTTAATAGAAGGAAATCGGGTATATATCAAATGTGTACAAAGAATAGAAAAAACAGGATATGGGGTATCCATTTATGACACAAAATCAGCACATGCACAGCAAAAAAACACACAAAAACAAAGGAACAGCTTCAACAAATATTTTGCAAATGGTTGTTTTTACATGTCAACTGAAAAAGTCTTGTTGTTGTGATAAGGTGTTGAAATGTATAAACTTTCTATACAAAATATCTAACATCCCAATCCTGAACTTAAGGCTTTTTTCAGTTTTAAATTATAAACTTATCTTACCAAAGGCATCATTCATTGATGTTTCATCCTCTTCATCTTCATCAGCATCCAATAATGGAGAAAATGCATATCTGGTATGAAAAATTATAAAACATCATAAACAAGCATTCTGAGAGTATTGCATGGCAATACATAGTCCCCTACCGGGTAAAAATTCATTATACTGGAACAAAAAGCTAACTTGTTCTATAACTTGTCATGGTGTAAACAAAAAGAAAATATCAAGTCAATATCTTCAAGCATGACTAAAAACAGTGTGGAAAACTGATTAAATGAGTGAATTTTTCAAGTCCAAGGACCATAACTCTGCACAAAATTATCAGACCGAAACAAAATTTCTAACTTGATCTGTATAACTTGTCATGATAAAACTATATACCAATTATCAATCAATATCTTCAAGCATGATGAAAAAAAGTGTGGAAAACACTTTAACATTAGATATGATTAATAGTTCTCTAAATTTAGATATGATGTAATACAGTGTATATCTATTTTCAAATTATAATCAAATATAATTGATAGTTCCAAATATTTTTTCTTTTATTTGTCACAAACTAATATAGATTTGTAACTTATCTATAAAATGTCAACAATTTTTATCTACACAATGTAATGTAATATATACATTAATAAAAATAAATTATTATCTAATTAAAGGATTTCACTTCATAATTTTTTTTATATATATATAGCATTCAGAAAATTAGTTTATACAAAAAAACAAACAAACCTGCCAAAAATTTTATCAAATAATTTACCAAAAAATGTCTTTAAAAAAATGAGTTATCTCCCTTTGTAAAGAAATATGGTTTAACATAGTACTCTAACATTAGATATGGACCAGAGTCCATAACTCTGGACTAAATCATCAGACCAGAACAAAATTCGAACTTGATCTATAACTTGTCATGGCAAAACTATATACCAAACATCAAATCAATATCTTCAAGAACGAAGAAAAAAAGTGTGAAAAACTGATTTGCCGGACTGACGGATGGACAAACAGACGGACGGACAGAGTGCAAACCTAAAGCCCCTTCGACTTCGTCGGTAGTGGACTAAAAATATCTTAGTCAATTAATCAAATGCTCAAAACAACCATACTGGACTGTACATTGTGAAAACAAGGATAAATAAAATGCTCCGCAGGGCGCAGCTTGATACGACCGCAGAGGTCGAACCCTGAACAGTTGGGGGAAGTATGGACACAACATTCAAGCTTGATACAGCTTTGGATTTGGATTGTGATTAAATATTTGACACAGCATAGGTTTCTAACACAGATTGAATGTGGTCTAAGAACTTAAAATTTTTAAATTGGACATTCACCTATTATGGTCCAATATCCAAAATCTAAATACATGGTTAGATTCAGCATATCAAAGAACCCCAATAATTCAATTTTTGATGAAATCAAACAAAGTTTAATTTTGGACCCTTTTGACCTCAATGTGGACAAAGTTGATAACGGGGCCCAAAAATCAAAAATCTAAATACATGGTTAGGTTCAGCATATCAAAGAACCCCATATATTCAATTTTTGTTGAAATCAAACAAAGTTTAATTTTGGACCCCGATTTGGACCAACTTGAAAACTGGGCCCATAATCAAAAATCTAAATACATGTTTAGATTCAGCATATCAAAGAACCCTAAGAATTCAATTTTTGTTAAAATCAAACTTAAGTTTAATTTTGGACCCTTTGGACCTTAATGTAGACCAATTTGAAAACGGAACCAAAATTTAAGAATCTAAATACACAGTTAGATTCGGCATATCAAAGAACCCCAATAATTCAATTTTTGATGAAATCAAACAAAGTTTAATTTTGGACCCTTTGGACCTCAATGTGGACCAATTTAAAAACGGGGCCCAAAATCCAAAAACTAAATACACGGTTAGATTCAGCATATTAAAGAACCCCATGAAATCAAGAATAAAACCCCATTGAAATTGGTCAAGAAATAAGCAATTTATAGGAAGTATCTTCTTTTGCACAATCCTGTGCTATTAAATATTTCTTGCTATTGCGCAATACTGTACAATTGACAATTTCTTGCTATTGCGCAATATTGTGCTATTGGATATTTCTTGCTATTGCGCAATACTGTGCAATTGAAGATTTCTTGCTATTGCGCAATACTGTGCAATTGAAGATTTCTTGCTATTGTGCAATACTGTGCAATTGAAAATTTCTTGCTATTGCACAATACTTATTATATAATAATTTACACATCCTGTTTGGTGTGTATCTCCTACCATATCATTATTATTTGATTTTAAATATAAATCAGAAATAACCAACTTAAAATGGAAAATTTTAAAAGAAACAAAAAAGGAAAAAAAGAAAAAAAAGGAAAAAAAAATAAATCCCCCCCAAAATTTTTTGAACCCCCATTATGATTCATCACCCCCAAACTCAATCCCAGCCTTCCCTTTGTGGTATGGTACCTTGCAGTACAATTTCAGAGAGATCCATACACTTGAACACAAGTTATTGTCTGGAAACTAGAAAAAAATGTGTTTTTTGGCCCCTTTTTGGCCCCAAATTCCTAAACGTTTAGGGCAATTACCCCCAAACTCAAACCCAGCTTTCCCTTTGTGATATGGAACCTTGTAGTACAATTTCAGAAAGATCCATACACTTACACACAAGTTATTGTCATGAAACTAGAAAAATGCTTGTTTTTTGCCCCTTTTTTGGCCCCTAATTCCTAAAATTTGGAGGCAATTACCCCCAAAATCAATCCCAGCATTCCTTTAGTGATATGGAACCTTGTGGTACAATGTCAGAGAGATCCATACACTAACACACAAGTTATGTCTGGAAGTTACAAAAATGCTTATTTTTGGCCCCTTTTTGGCCCCTAATTCCTTTACTGTTATTACCATAACCCCCAAAATCAATCCCAACCTTCCTTTTGTGGTATTGAACCTTGTGGTAAAATTTCATAAAGATCCATTTACTTAAACTAAAGTTAGAGTGCGAAAACCAATGTGTCTTCGGACGACGCCGGACGACGACGACGGACGACGACAACGACGACGCCAACGTCATACCAATATACGACCACAAAAATTTTTTTGCGGTCGTATAAAAATCTTTTGCATTTTACAGCTATAGACATCATATCGAAAAGTGTGTTTTAATAGACCATTTATAAAGTCTTTACATCTTCTAACATCAGTTGATTTAAATATATAAGATAATTGTTTTGTCTTTATGAACATGTAAAACTATATCAGCCCAACCATAATTTTATCTGTATCTATGGTGTCAGTCTGCCAATGCCAATTTTTAAAGTCTGTCATCTTAACTTTTCTATATGAAATGGCAGTTGCAGTTTGTTGTGATTTCCAGCATTTTTTATTGTTCCTGTTAATTGAACTTAGCAACTCATCAAGGAAAAGTTGACTTCAGAGAAATCTGGCAGAATTTCTGTTTTGGCAATTGTAGTTTTAATGCTTTCAAATGTTTAACTTTTTGTCTTTTCAAACTTTTAGTCACAATCATACCCGAGGATGGTTATTTAAGAAAGTGCACTGAAATTACATAATTTTTATGCCCCATCTTCGATAGTAGAGGGCATTATGTTTTTCGGTCTGTGTGTCTGTTCGTTCATCCGTCCATTCGTCCGTCCGTCCATCTGTCCCGCTTAAGGTTAAAGTTTTTGGTCAAGGTAGTTTTTGATGAAGTTGAAGTCCAATCAACTTGAAACTTAGTACACATGTTCCCTATGATATGACCTTTCTAATTTTAATGCCAAATTAGAGTTTTGACCCCAGATTAACGGTCCACTAAACAAAGAAAATGATAGTGCGAGTGGGGCATCCGTGTACTATGGACACATTCTTGTTTTTAACATCTAATGGTATGGCATAACATAAATGACATATTTTTAGGAGTATGATAAACATATCTATACATGTATTACCTTTGACTGTTTGCTGATGGTCTCCACAGAAACATCATAACCAGAAGAATTACAGAAAACAAAAGATGCCAGAATGCATCGTCTATCCAAATCTCTTCCCAGTCCTATAATAATATTATTAATGACGAGTAAATAACATTTGAATTAAAAACAATTGTTTAAAACTTGTTCACTAAAATTAATAGGAAATTTTAAAACTTTAAAAAGACCGGTACAGCTGTCAAACACCAATCAGTTTCAAAAACTGTTGTTTTGACTAATGTGAGAGCATATTTATGGCACTGGTTCTATTTGTTTGACATTCAAAAGCATTTTTGATTGCTATAAATCCAAAAGTATTAGACATCTGAAGATAAAAAGGGTATTCACATAAAATGTCATATCCTTTAAAGAATGTGTAAACTTTTGTTCAACAGTCATCCAAAAAACCACCTTATGTTTAAATCAAAAAGTAATAAACATCTGGAGATAAAATGGGTATTCATATAAAATGTCATATCCTTTACAGAATGTGTCAACTTTTGTTCAACAGTCATCCAAAAAAACCAGCCTGATTATGTTTTTTTATGTTACTGTAAAATTGTGGCCAAATAAAAAACTCATTTCAAGTATTTCAACCTAAAATAAAAGGTTTCATTTTCTATAAAGTAAATTTTCACTCTCTGTTAATAAACAACCTTTTTACATAGGTTTTACAAATCTGAATAGTAATGAAACAGTTGACATCATATCTAAGTAGGTCAACATTGTACTTACTGTAATACATTTCTTTAATTTATGGGTAACAAGGGACCACAACATAAATATCACCGAAGCTGTAAAGTAATAAATCAAAACATTCATTATCCGTGTAACTATTTTCTTCAGTTTTAAATAAAGATTGTGAACAAAAAAATATGGAGAAAAGTTCGTTTAAATACTTCAATGTTCATAATTGTAATCTTTCAATGTCAAAATGATTTGATCTGATACAAAAAATAAAAACAAATCCCCAAAAACCATAAATTAAAATTTTCTATTTATTCCCAATATGTTATTCTTTCTCAGTATTGAAACAAATTGATTATACTTACATAAAACTGCAAATATAAGAAGATTAGTAAAATGTCTGTACAATGATAATTTTACTACATTCCTTCTTAATCTCAAAGTTCTAGTGGTTTGGACTAGACTTGAGAATATCTGAGATTTGTCAAGGAAATATTTTCAGCTAACCAAACTTCTTTTCCTGTTGTATTTGCATAGTGCTAATATTAAATTTGCCAAAGCATAAAGCATGAATGATCAATTTTGGATTTCCAGATATTCATTTCAATACCCTATGCTCCTTTCATCCTATAAAATTTATGCATTTTGAAATAATCTGTTATTTTTTCTACAGTTTGTCTGAAGAAATTAAAAAACTTTTTTTGGTACAGCTATAAATTTCCTGGCAGTCAATTCTTTTCCTTCAAAATTAATCATTGAAATAAAGATGTTTATTTTTGAAATAAAAATCATCAATCATCTTTGTGATTCGAACTCATTTACAATCATATCTTATCACCTTATTTTGTACAGTTTCCATGTTCAGAACTATTCAAAATAATGTGTTTGATTTCACAGAGAACGCATGTCAAACTTTTCCAGAAACTTGTTAACTATTACAGGAAGAAGGAATGATAAACAGTACAATCTAATCATGTTGTTGTTTAATGGGATATGAACATGCAATGGTATACATACACTGCTTGTACTGGCAAAAGAGGCAATAGAACTTAAAGTTAACACCCGACTTTTCATTTCAAAAGAAACTAAAAAAAATCATTCATAAAATAGTACAATGTAAAGCAAGTACATTAGTAATTTTATCAAAAGATTGAAGAAAGTGATAAAAATAATCAGCTTAACAACTAAGATCTGTCAGTCACTGATTGCCTGATCTTTTCTCATAATTTTTTCACTTTATATACAATTAAATAAAAAGGATATCCACCAGCAAATAACAGCATCTACTATCGCCAGGGGTATATTCAGAATCAGTAATGTTGAATTGTTTACTTGATTTGTCTGTAAAAATACAAATAGTTAAAAAAAATAATTAACTAGCAATATATCCGACAGGCTAAAACTAAAAGCATACATATTCATATTTGTTTTAAAAAGCACTTTTATACTGCATTAAATATTTTCTGATTTCTTAATAAATACAAAATTTTTCTTCAAACAAAATTCCGATTATATGACACTGATAATATTAAAACAAATATGGTGGATAATGAATCTATCTTATTCATCAGCATAAAAAAAAAGGTTCTGTTTTCATCTGCACACAGAGAAGTATTGTTACAGCATAGTATATTCCTGATTTAGATTCAAAAACACAGAAATGAGTCTTGTTTTGTTAATCAATTTTCAAGGTGCCTACTTGCAAGAATCTTACAAGCTCAAATGGAACATTCCTATCTGCACAATGATGAAAAAAATGTTAAAAAAAAGAATTTTGTGGTGTTATAAAAGAAGGTTTTGACACAACAATGACCATTCCATTTTCCCTGCATATTGTAGGTGTACTTACATTTAATGCTCTATAACAACCTTCAATGGAACTGCTAATAAAATAAAGACCACCAACAAACAGAACTTTATGAAAAGCTGCTCCAAGTCTTGGTCTAAAAAAAAATCACTCCTTATAAATATGTATTTCTGTATTATGAGTCAAATAAAGTTTATAAATTATTATTTACTGGTCTGGTTTCCGTAACTGTAGAGTTTTTTATAAGATGAGATAGTTAGTCTTGTGTTCAACCCCCTAACCTGGAGGGCCAGCGGATTTGTAGTTGAGGTTCCACTCTCTTAGATCGGTTGCCAGCCAAGGCTTACGAGCCAAGATCTACCCGGATTGGTATCAGAGTTGTCTCTCCTAGATGGATTGCCTTACTGAGCTATCGACCCAATCTGACCCGACTATTTACCCATAGCTGGGTCAAGGGTGATGAGTGCTAGGGTATATCCACACACCGGTGGGCCTAAACATTACATCTATGGAGCCTTTTTGCTCCCCGATCTCCATCAAGTTTGGCCTGGCCTCGAGTGAGACCAATATCCATGCATTGTCGTGAGGAGGCACCATTGGAGTATTGGTAGTGTTTAGGCTATGTAGTAACAGGAGAGACTGACACACTCGGCTCTCTTTTCACATACAATGCTAGTCAGCGGCATAAATGCACTAGATGCATAACACTACCCTGTGGTTTTCACCATTAACACTATTGACATGTATGAACCTTTTATATCAATGGATAAAATTTTGTTGAAATTAAGTCTCTGCTCAACTCTTATTGCAAAGTAAATAAAAACTTTCCCTAGAATCAGTTGGTGTTTACCTGGCTATTTAAATTTTTGCAAAGGGAACAGTCCAATTGAAAAAAAATGTTCTCCATGCCATGAAGTTCATTCAATGGGAACTTTAAATTTCACCTTGAAAAAATAATCATTCATTAATTAATTTGGCTTTACAAAAAAAATAAACATACTCTCTTTACCAGATCATTTGTAAAACAAAAGAGTAGATAGTGATAAAATGCATTCTTTTTTGCAAAAAAAGCTGAATCTGCTGGTCCAGAGCTAAATATTTTTATATACTGTAAAAATGGCTCAATTCTAGGGTTTTACTTACTTCACTATACCAAATCCCAGGCTGACAATGATAACTAACATTCTAGCCAATGCTCTCTTCACACAGGAAACTAACTCAGCAAAAACTATAGCACCAGGAACTGAAAAGTATAATATTTGTGTCATTACCATAATTGGGTAGTTTACATACTTTATACAACCTTCGACATTAAATTTTGAATTTGAATAAAAATTTTTTTATGAATTTAATTTGAACTCATAAACTCATAAATCTACACAACCCATCAAGATAGAAACAGTAATAATACTTTTTGGTATTACACATAAGAGTGATGTCATTCCGTTTGAAAATATTACATGTAAGAGTGATGTCATTCCGTTTGAAACTATTACATGTAAGAGTGATGTCATTCCGTTTGAAAATATTACATGTAAGAGTGATGTCATTCTGTTTGAAAATATTACATGTAAGAGTGATGACATTCTGTTTGAAACATAACTACAATTTTATTTTGTAAAACAAGAAATGTTTTAAAAGGGCATTGGCTGTCAAATTCATATTCACTGATTTCACCCAAAGACGACAGCCTAGGTGTTTGTGCAAAACTTTTCAGATCCAATGGTACAATTTTAGCATCCCTTTATCAATTTTAAATATGGAAAAAGACCAATTTGAATATGTTTTTATATCAAATATCAAATGTGCTCTTTTTCATGCATGGAAATTATAGCAATTTTTCACATAGAAATATGTGTCGACGAAAAATGATGACTATCACAGCAAATGTTTACTTTATTTTTACCTTAAAATTTTATTATAAAAGAAGCTGTTCTGTTATGCGTACTGACAAATGATGAAATGTATATTTTGGCTTATTTTTCTTGAATATTTTTTACCAAGTATTAACTTCAAAAATACTTATAAGTTACAGTAAGCCTTTAAGATAGAAATGTCTGTCCAGTCATAAAGTTAAATTAAGACACAAAACAAATAAAGGGACATTACTCTAACACGGTAAAAGTGACGCCACCAAAATTCAAACTTGATCTGTGTTTTGTGGTAATAAGCATTGTGCATAACTTTCATAACATTTGGTTGAGGCAAACAAGTTACAGAATGGAAACCAATTTTGGGACGTACAGACGGACAAGGGTAAAACTTAATGCCCCCTCCGCTACGGTGGGGGCATAAAAATCAACAGTTACTTGTAACTGTGACATCACAATTTCGTAAGATGGATACAACCTATTTATATTACAACCTACCTGATTTTCCAGTACTGGAAACACTCTGATATTCTCCATAGAAAACAGCTTTTTCTAACATTCCTGTAACAGTCAAATTAAATCTAGATTGTGTAAAATGGAATACAGTTAATTCAGAAATTATTGCAAGGTATTTACTAAAGCATAAAATGTGACTGGGTAAGTATAATTAGAATAATAAGAACTTGCATTCTGATATCCGATAAATAAATATCCATGCAGCCTTTCTTAAAATTGCAATAAAAAATCTAACATTTTGTCCATTCATTAGAAATCGCAATAATAAATGCACACAATAATTTCTGAATATATACAGTATGTTGTTTCAACAGAAACTTCTTGAAATGAAGAAAAGAAAGAAAATAAACATTAGGGTGCATGTGTTTTACTTTTCATTTCCTTATTCAGTGTATTAACAATCAATGTATGCCCAACAACACCTCCAAGATTAATAAGTATATATTTTTTTTGGATTCACAGTTTGTTTGCATGTTGTTTCTAACATATAATTGATGTCATCATAAAATAAAATGAGTCTACAACAAAAGAGTTATACACTGGCTTTAATTTAAAGGTAAATAGTTACCTATTTGTATCTTCAGAAAGAAATATATTACTTCAGAACTCACAAATAAGAACTGTTTATTAACAAAGGTAGAATGGACACAAAGCAGTCTTGTTTATTCATGTTTTTTTTAACATTTGATTATAAATATACTCATTTATATCATCAGTTTGAGTGTATGTCTTATGATAAAATATTACCTAACAATATAACACCTCCAACCCAAAACTGAATTCTTAGTAAATCTCTCCAGCTACAAGCCAATAATACCAGCCACACTAGCCCATACATGATGTACACTATACCCATTAAACCATAGAACTGTAAATGAAAGAATGTATTTGGTAAAAAATATCAACCATTAGTATAGGAAGTTATAAATACTAAATATTGGTTCATATTAGTATGACTCACTCGCAGGACATGGAATATTATAGAACAGAGAATGGAAACGGGGAATGTGTCACGAGACAACAACCCGACCAAAGAGGAGAAAACAGCTCAAGGCCACCAATGGTGTCATCAACACAGTGAGAAAATCTAGCACCGGGAGGTTGGCTTTAGCGGGTCCTTTAACAATAATGTATACTACATTGTAGTTCAGCGAAATGAATGACACACTAAACTCCAAAACATACAAATGAACCAAAATTATAAACAAGAAGACTAACTAAGGCTAGAGGTTCCTGACATGGGACAACCGTAAAAATGCAGCTGGGTTAAACATGTTTTGTGAGATCTCAAACCCTTCCCTAATACCTCTTTACCTGAATATGCAAATAGGAAAAAACATACATGTTCTTTTTCGGACAATGTATTTAAGATATAACTGTATGATCACAAATTTTTTCAATTATTCTATTACCGGTAATGTAAAAATTGCGATGGGCTAGTTTTAGCTAAAAATAGAACAATGACAATGTTTTTATAGCATTATTTTCATCAATCATTTCCTGAAATCATAATGATTAATCTCACATTTGTACAAGCAGAAGTTCTGAATTTACTCCAATATTTTGATATACTGTAAATTCAGAAATTAATGCGAGTTTTAATTAATGCGAATAATACGACTGGATGGTATCACAATAATAAGAACTCGCATTCTGATAACTGAAACATAGATCTGTATGCAGATTTTTCCGACTTCACAATAATGAAACTCGCAATAATAAATGCAAGCAATAATTTCTGAATTTACAGTAATTTGTTAAACTACCAGAGATATTTAAAATAAGTAGACATATTCTGATAGAAGACTAAATCCAAAGAACATTCTAATAAAATCTTATTCAATGTAGCCTAATCCTATTGAAGAAAAATGATCTAAAACATTTCAGCAATTCAGAAACCCCTGGTGGCCATTGTGAAAATCTTCATTGTACAAAAAGTTCTGAATTTACAGAAGCAATCAAATCCAATGGTTTCAGTTTGAAAAAAGTTGCAGTCCTCAAAAAATCTTGTTAGGCACTATCATGGAAAATATTATTATGATTTCCTTGAAATGCCCAGTGGTTTCAGATGAAATAAAATGTGTCAATTAGAAGTCTATCAAACAGTTTAAAAAGCAGGATATGGATATCCTGATGACACATTCTGTTCTCACTCCATTTGAAGTTCATGTAATTCCCTCAGATTTGTTTTTTCATTTTAATTTGTTAATTTAAAATGGATTTATGAGACTTGAACATCAGTACTCTACTGCAGTCTCTAATTTGAAACAATAAATTATCACTGCATAATAATACTTGCAGAACTTGACTATTATACTTACGATAAGAAGAGGCCAGTCTACTGCTGAAATATACTGGTGTTTCCCTTCCATCTTGATTACAACTGAAATAAAACCATTTATATATTATCTTTGGCAATTACTGCCATATCTGTAAATATAATAATCTTTTAAGCTTCATCAAAATATTGTTCTTAGCTAAAGACTTAATACATTTTCAGACATAACCTATTCATTTCATTCTTAATTACCATGTCTTCTCATACCTAAATATACGAACAACCAAAACCATAAATGTGTTAACAAAATCGTTGGCATATAGTCAACTATATTTTCTATTACCATGAGCTGTTTTTAAAAATATCAAGTGTTGAAAGCAGAATTTCTAAGGTAGAACTAACTAAAGGTATATTGTACATCTAAAATAATGTAACATGTAGTAAGATTGACATATTGAGAAATATTCATTTCAATACTAAGCCACTTTCTCTTTATAAAATTTAAATCAATCTGACCAGATGCAAGAAAAAAGATAACACATGTATGGTTTAAAGGGAAAATTCGCGATTTTTTACTTATCATCTTATTATGTTCATAATACCATAAAAAACATATTCACCAAGTTTTATCTGGATATGAAAACTAATAAAGAAGAAAATTGGGAATTATTAATTTTATTTATTCGAACTTCCTGACTTCTGTGACGTAGTTTAAGTCTTTTTGCATGCCAAGAGTGGAATTAATCTCATTTAAGTCTTGTTCGTTAATCATCTAATAACGCGATTTAAAGCGCATCGACGACTTTTGGCGTAGCTATTAACCAACTAATAATTAAGAAAGTAAAGTGATCAGCCGTGCAACTTTTAAAAATAAAATGTACGATTTATATTTTAAGGATTTCTGATATGATTATAGTCATTATAGTAATAAAAGTAAATCATACAATAGAATATTTTTATGAATTTTTTTTCCGACGGATATTTTCAACAAACATATTTAACTGATAGTGTATTAAAAATGCATGTTTGTATTCTCACCTTTTACTTCAGTCTAGCAAACATTTTCCGCTAGTACCTTGTAAATACAATGTGTATTGTACTGTGACACTTAGTGACTACCTGTTGAATGCGTGGTTAAATTCAAGGTATTTAAAGGTTTGCATTCTGTTATTCTAATCTTTTGATCTTCACTCAGTGAATTTTAGCCGTCACGGTTCCAGGTGTGAACATCATTTCGTATGAATGATAAACGGGAGTGATAGTTTGAGACAGAAAATAAAAAAAGAAATATAATTATTTTGAGGGAGTAATATGGTGGCACAATAACTGGATAGCCGTGGTATATTTTTATATTTTCCGTAAGCTCAGTTTAAAATGAATTATGACTGCTGAATATTTTTGTAACAATGAAATACTGAATTAATTTAATTGAATAAATAATAATGGCCGTTCTAAACACGAGTGTATGAACTAATAAAATGCTTCGCTGGGCGCAGCTTGATACGACCGCAGAGGTCGAACCCTGAACAGTTGGGCCAAGTAAGGACACAACATTCAAGCTTGATACAGCTCTGAATTTGGATTGTGATTAAATATTTGACACAGCATAGGTTTCTGACACAGATTGGACATTCACCTATTATGGTCCAATGTCCAAAATCAAAATACATGGTTAGATTCAGCATATCAAAGAACCCCATATATTCAATTTTTGTTGAAATCAAACAAAGTTTAATTTTGGACCCCAACTTGGACAAACTTGAAAACTGGTCCCATAATCAAAAATCTAAACACATGTTTAGATTCAGCATATCAAAGTACCCCAAGAATTCATTTTTTGTTGAAATCAAACTAAGTTTAATTTTGGACCCTTTGGACCTTAATGTAGACCAATTTAAAAAACGGGACCCAAAATTAAAAATCTAAAAACACGGTTAGATTTGGCATATCAAAGAACCCCAATAATTCAATTTTTGATATAATCAAACAAAGTTTGATTTTGGACCCTTTTGACCTCAATATGAACCAATTTGATAGCAGGCCCACAAATAAAAAATCTAAATACAAGGTAAGATTCAGCATATCAAAGAACCCCATATATTCAATTTTTGTTGAAATCAAACAAAGTTTAATTTTGGACCCCAATTTGGACCAACTTGAAAACTTGGCCAAAAATCTAAAATCTAAATACATGTTTAGATTCAGCATATCAAAGAACCCCATATATTCAATTTTTGTTGAAATCAAACAAAGTTTAATTTTGTTGGACCCCAACTTGGACCAACTTGAAAACTGGGCTCATAATCAAAAATCTAAACACATGTTTAGATTCAGCATATCAAAGAACCCCAAAAATTCAATTTTTGTTAAAATCAAACTAAGTTTAATTTTGGACCCTTTGGACCATAATGTAGACCTATTTAAAAAACGGGACCCAAAATTAAAAATCTAAATACACGGTTAGATTTGGCATATCAAAGAACTCCAATAATTCAATTTTTGATGAAATCAAACAAAGTTTAATTTTGGACCCTTTTGACCTCAATATGAACCAATTTGATAGTGGGCCCACAAATAAAAAATCTAAATACATGGTAAGATTCAGCATATCAAAGAACCCCATATATTCAATTTTTGTTGAAATCAAACAAAGTTTAATTTTGGACCCCAGTTTGGACCAACTTGAAAACTGGGCCAAAAATCTAAAATCTAAATACATGTTTAGATTCAGCATATCAAAGAACCCCATATATTCAATTTTTGTTGAAATCAAACAAAGTTTTATTTTGGACCCCAACTTGGACCAACTTGAAAACTGGGCCCATAATCAAAAATCTAAACACATGTTTAGATTCAGCATATCAAAGAACCCCAAGAATTCAATTTTTGTTAAAATCAAACTAAGTTTAATTTTGGACCCTTTGGACCTTAATGTAGACCAATTTAAAAAACGGGACCCAAAATTAAAAATCTAAATACACGGTTAGATTTGGCATATCAAAGAACCCCAATAATTCAATTTTTGATGAAATCAAACAAAGTTTAATTTTGGACCCTTTTGACCTCAATATGAACCAATTTGATAGCGGGGTCCACAAATAAAAAATCTAAATACATGGTTAGATTCAGCATATCAAAGAACCCCATATATTCAATTTTTGTTGAAATCAAACAAAGTTTAATTTTGGACCCCAATTTGGACCAACTTGAAAACTGGGCCAAAAATCAAAAATCTAAATACATGTTTAGATTCAGCTTATCAAAGAACCCCATATATTCAATTTTTGTTAAAATCAAACAAATTTTAGTTTTGGACCCTTTGGACCTTAATGTAGACCAATTTGAAAACTGGATCCAAAATTAAAAATCTAAATACATCGTTAGATTCGGCATAACAAATAAATAAATGTGGTCAAAGATTTTACAAATCTAATGCGCCATACTGTGCAATTAAAGATTACTTCTTGAAATTTTCTAATATTTGAAATTTGAAAAAAAAATAATATTTGAAGAATAATTCTTTTTAATTTCTGAAATCTGAAATGAGAAAAAATTGACCCCCCACAATTTCTTTTTACCCCCCGCCCCCCATTTTTTCCCCCAAACCATAATTACCCATCTAAATTTACCATAGTGCTAACTTAATCTATTTTATAATAAAATTTAAAATATAGTGTCAAATCTTTCATATGGATTTTTTTGTAAAAAAAAAAGATGCAACATTTGCAGATATTTTTACTGGTCTTCCTTTATAAATATGCATTTCTTTAAACATAATTTAAAAGCAGTGTAAGGGAAGTAACCAAAACGTTGTATTTGGATTACCTCCCTTACACTGTTTTAAATTATCTTAATTGTTCATTAACCATTACTTTATACATAATTTAAAAGCAGTGTAAGGGAGATAATTTCAATGATGTATTTGATTTATCTCTCTTACACTGCTTTAAATTATGTTTTGTACTAAAGTATTTGTCCATTTACCAGGACAACCTTGTTTTTCCCCCTTTTTTGCCCCTAATTCTTAAACGGTTTGAGCCATAACCCCTCAAAGCAAATCCTAACCATCCCTTTGTCGTATGGAAACTTGTAGTATAATTTCAGAGAGATCCATACACCGTTCCACAGTTATTGTCTGGAAACTAGAAAATACTTATTTTTGGCCCCTTTTTGGCCCCTAATTCCTTAACTGTTGGTATCATAACCCCCAAAATCAATCCCCACCTTCCTTTTGTTGTATTGAACCTTATGGTCATAGAGATTCATTCACTTAAACTAAAGTTAGAGTGCGAAAACTAATGCGTATTCGGACGCCGACGCCGACGACGACGCCAACGTCATACCAATATACGACCACAAAAATTTTTTTGCGGTCGTATAAAAATTGTACTATTTTAAATTAGAATCGGTAACCTTAAATATTTGAAATAGATAATTACCAATTGCAATTATATAATTTGGTCCGTCCAAAGCGATCTTTATTTACATATTCAGGAATTAATGTCCTTATCAAAATATTTTAAATCTCACAACGTATAAATACTTCAGCCATTTGAAGAAAGATAATTAAAAAGTTGACAGGAAATTTAAGGTCAACTTTGTCTTATTGGAATGAGATCGAATAATTAAGAACAAAAATTATTTTCCGGTTTGAAAAACATAAAAAAAATGATAAAAGAGAAATGTGGGTTCGAGACAGAAAAAAATAATTATTTGGGGAGGAATATGGTGGCAAAATACCTGAATCGCCGTTATAAATATTTTTTATATTTTGCGTTAGCTCAGTTTTTAAATAGATGGATGAGTACTTTGTTGTGACATCGGAATTCTGAATAACTTTCAATGAAATAATTTTATAAATAAAAATGGCCCACGAAAACGAGCGTATAAACCAAAAACTGTGCTATTTTGAATTATCATAGTAACCTTGAATATTTAAATGTGCAGAGAAAATTATCAGTTACATTAATATAGTTTGGTCCGTCCAAAGCGATCTACATTTACATAATCGGGAATGTCCTTATTAAAATATTCTACATCTCACAACAAATACTTTAGCTATTTGACCAACGATGTTTAAAATTTTTTTACAGAATCAATCTAACGTCAACTTGCCTTTATTGAATGGAGACAGACCGGCGGAATCAATGTTCAATGTGCTTTATATCTTGTACCTTTGTAAGACTTATCATTCATTCATAAACTATGTCTATACAGCAGACATATATATACATATAATTATATGTCTGTCTTAACTGACAAGAATACTCCTGGTTTTACACTAGTAATTTGTTGGGGCCCTTTATAGCTTAATTGCTGTTCGGTGTGAGCAAAGGCTCCGTGTTGAAGACCGTACTTTGACCTATAATGGTTTACTTTTATAAATTGTGACTTGGATGGAGAGTTGTCTCATTTGCACTCATACCACATCTTCTTATATCTATAAGCAGTATTATCTTTAAATTTCTGTGATTTAATACCAAGAAAGAAAAAAATCCCGAAATTAATTTGATACTTTGATACTCAATATTTTTCCTGGAAAATATTCACATCTTCATTCGGTCTGAAAATAAGATAAGAAACTGGTATACAGAACATGCAGAAGTGTGAATGTCATAAAACCTTGTTATATCAGAAACCATTATAAATGTGAACCTGTATACGTAAGACCTCATGGGACGATGTACCTAACCACATACAGGTAATATACAAGTAGCTCTGTTATACCCGGAAATGTCAAGGTTAATCACTACCGATACAGAATGTACCAATGCAAAGTAAATTCTGATGATTGTGAAGCATGACCATTCATGATTTTAGAGGAGTATTAGGTGGGGGATTGTCGGAACGATTTAAATTCTGACTAGATTTTTTCTCAATTTAAATCACTGAACTAAAAAAAAAAGAAAGGAGAAAACAACGTCCAAGAACAGAATTCTTCTTGTAAATTCATAAATACAACGTTCTTATTTTGTAACTTTCGATAGACTTGACCTCCCCCCCCCCCCCCCCCCCCTCAAACCTGGGAACATTATATCTAACAATGTTTATGTTCCTGCCCAAATAAAAAAAAAAAGAAGAAAAAAAAAAAGAAAGAGATGAACCACTAGAGATGAACTGTAAGTCACATCAGATTCAGATATTTATATAGTTGATTGTCGTTAACTAGAGATGTATAGTTACATGTCTCTTCGTTAACTGATAAGAATAACAGGAAAGTATAAACTTGAAATAGATTTATGATGAATAATATGCAACTGCGGCACCCCTTTTTATCAAAGCGTACATGCATTTATTTTAATGACTGTCCGTTATTTCGATCATAATGACAATTGTACGTGAAATCCTATAGTTGGTGATTCTTTTTTTTTACCAGATATGCGACTTTTCGTATTTATATTTTCTCTTATATTACTCTTATTTAATATTTTATGCATAAGTGCAATAGTGGGAATGGTTTATTCCCCCACAAGCTAACGTAATAAATTAATCAACCCTCAAGCTGATCAGACATTAATACAACTACTATCAGTCTATCCGGAGTGAAGTTTCTTTAATTCTTCAAATAAACTTTTGGGGATCATTAGTGTACGTCCAGTGGCATATATATTACATGCATGTCGGAACAGGAAAATTGGCAAAAGGTTCTATTAGAACCATGTTCACATTAATATACATTATACCCAACAATTGTGATGATGACGAATTTCTTCAACTGTTCGAGAACAATCTAATTGAAATATAAATCTGTGATTTTTACTTTGTCCATAACTTCGATGAACCAAAGCAAGTTAAGATATCGACCTGTATTTAAATCAAATTGGTTCTAGATGTTCTTTCTTATATTCAATATACAATTTTAAATTGCGACTATCTATAGTTCCGTAACTTTCTATCTAGGCGTATAAACCAATGATCGACAAGTGCGTATTTTTTAAATCAATAGTTTTTCATGTTTCAAAATGTCCATCATTATTGACAACGAGTATATATACTTACATTTTCCCCAATTTACCCTTGGAAAAATATGTAAATAGATTTTTATTTTATCAAATCTTTTTTTGGAATTATTTAGATTTTCATAAATATCATGATGATCAGATAAGAGAAGGTCCGAATTTATTCAAATAAGTTTATTACATAAAAGAATTATGAACAAATTAGATTTTCGAAAACGATTTTACACGGAACACTTATTTATGACTTTGAACTTTGACTTTTTAACTAATTCCCATATAAATTTCTTGTTTCAAAAACTTCGTAAAGAAAAAACAGTTTTAAAACGACAGACCATAGTTATTTAAAAAAATAATTACATTTTCCGTATCAAGTTAGTTAGTCGGATAAATGCGACTACGTTAGGTTACTGCTGGTTTTGGTCCTTTGTGGTTTATAGATATATCGGGGTTTCTAAACCGAGAAGATGTCAAAATGGCCGCACGCAGAGAATTGATACTCTAAATTTAAAATCGATGGTGATCTCTTATCTAGCAGAATAAAACTTTAATATTTATGAATTTGTGCTTTTTTATACAGAATGGACATAATATCAATTTTTTTATTTTTTTGCGAAGTTTCCCTTTAAGTTCTATTTCAAACACCATACAATATGCTTCATTCACTTACATATATACATTGTAGTATGATAGTAAAACACTATCTTGAAAAGAAACTTTGCATCAACTAAATATTATGAAAAGTTGTCTTGAAGTTCTGAATGGTTATTAAAATCTCCATGTGCATTACACACAACATATGTGTATTACACACAATATAATATTTGAACTGTCTTTTTCTCACCGATTATTGGTTGTAACTTTCATATCATTACTCACCATCAATATCAAATTTTTCTGTACTTTCCACTTGCAATATAAATATGTATGGGCCATCTCTCCAAGTATCAAGTAAAGGTGATTTCTAAAACAACAAAATAAAATTTAAATTTAAAATAATACCATAAATTTGGATTTGCTGCAAGGATATTTACATAGAAATGACAATTTCAAATGGTATTCTATTGAATCATCCCATAATAGATATAAGAAGATGTGGTATGAGTGCCAACGAGACAACTCTCCATCCAAGTCAAAATTTATAAAAGTAAACCATTATAGGAGCCTTAGCTCACACCGAACAGTAAGCTATAAAGGGCCCCAAAAAATTACTAGTGTAAAACCATTCAAACGGGAAAACCAACGGTCTAATCTATATAAAAAACGAGAAACGAGAAACACTTATGAACCACATCAACAAACGACAACTACTGAACATCAGATTCCTGACTTAGGACAGATGCAAACAAATGCAGCGGGTTTAAACGTTTTAATGGTACCAAACCTTCACCCTTTTTCTGAAACAATAGTGTAACATCACAACATAGAAAGACACACTATAAAATATCAACTGAAATAGCTTAACTCAATCAAAGGACATATTAACACCATTGAACATACACTGAACAAATAAATTTGACCTATGACACAATGTAAATACAAAATAAATAAACTAAGGGAAGAATAATAAAAGTAACATGTTATATCGGTAAGAAATTTATACAGATGCCATTAAATATTACAATAATTCAAACTGTTGGCAATGTATGGATTGTTATTTGTTATTAATTTGAATCTAAAATCAGTGTATATGAAAACAATATTAAAACTACTGTGGATCCTTTTTTTTTTTTTTTTGGAAAAAGGGGGGGGGGGGGGGGGGGGGGTATTGTAAAGGTTTTGACCAATTTAAAAGAAACTACGACTGTCATTAAAATAACATTAGAATAATTACCTTGGCATGTTCTGGTTGTGTCTGAAAAATATATATTAAATATTATTATTCTAAATAAAAGGAGATGTGACTGGAAACATCAATAAGACAGCAACCCAAAAACAATAAAAGAACAGAGTTCCAATGTCCCCAGTGTTGCACTTATTTTAACTATCCAAAGTACAAGGGCAATAACTAAAATAAATAGGGAATGTGTCCATGGGACACAGATGATGCCCCCACTTGCATATCATATAAAGTTATAAAGGGACATAACTGAAGAAGGGTAAAAGTGACGCTACCCAAATTTGTACTTGATCTGAGTTTTGTGGTAATTAGTATTGTGTATAAGTTTCATAACATTTGGTTGAGGTAAACTTAAGTTAGAGAACGGAAATTTTTCCATTTGTAAAGGGGCATAACTCTAGAACAGTAAAAGTGACACTACCAAAATTCAAACTTGATCTGTATTTTGTGGTAATAAGCATTGTGTATAAGTTTCATAACATTTGGTTGAGGCCAACTTAAGTAAGAGAACGGAAACGAAAAATTCAGCAATTTTTCCATTTGTAAACGGGCATAACTCTAAAACGGTAAAAGTGACACCACCAAAATTCAAACTTGATCTGTATATTGTGGTAGTTAGCATTGTGTATAAGTTTCATAACAATTGGTTAAGGCAAACTAAAGTTAGAGCACGGAAACGAAAAATTCAGCAATTTTATCTATTTGTAAAGGGGCATAACTCTAGAACGGTTAAAGTGACGCCACCAAAATTCAAACTTTATCTGTGTTTTGTGGTAATAAGCATTTTGTATAAGTTTCATAAAATTTGGTTGATGCAAACTTAAGTTAGAAACCAAATTTGGGACGTACGTATGGACGTACAGACGGACAAGGGTAAACTTAATGCCCCCTCGCTACGGCGGGTGCATAAAAAGCAATTTTTTGTTCTTCAAAACTTTTTATTAAGATCTTTAGAGAAATGAAGGCTTCAGAGCAAATGCAATGTGATTTCCATTATAATTAATATTTCCAAGGGGCATAACTTGTTCAAAATATTTGATCAGCATTTATTTTCAAAAGCGACAAAGACATTGCTGATAAAAACCTATGATATAAGTTTCATAAAATTCTGGCAATAACCAATATTTCCAAGGGGTATAACTCTTTTAAAAATAATTAATCTGCACTGATTTTTGAACTCGTCAAAGATATTGATTATATAAACCTATAATATAATTTCATAAAAATCTGGAAAGAATTGTACACATTAGAGTGTCCATAAGGTAATTTTCCATACAACTAATATTTCCAAGGGCATAACTCTTTTAAAAATAATTGATCGGCACTGATTTTAGAACTCGTCAAAGAAATTGCTAATATAAACCTATGATATAAATTTCATAAAAATCTGGCAAGCATTGTACAAATAAGAGCGCTAACGATGCAATTTTCCATATCATTAATGTTTCTAAGGGGCATAACTCTTTTAAAAATAACTGATCAGCACTGATTTTCAGACTCGTCCAAGACATTGCTAATATAAACCAATGATATAAGTTTCATAAAAATCTGGCAAGAATTGTACAAATGTGAGCGCTAACAAAGGCTTCCAAAACGGTCATATTTGCTGGACAAATGTAAATTTATCTGACATTGTCCGACTGGGCCAAGCATGAAACGGACATCCTACGTAGGTTTGCCATTTCAACATTCATGTGATTCTGATAAATCAACCATTTTGACTTGACCTTGTGCCTAAAACAGACACACTTTTCCGGTCATTAAAGTGACAGTACTCTATAAACAAGCCCTACTATAATCCCCTCTCATTACAATCAAGGTTAATTAAGTGTCTAACAGGTGAGATTTACCTGTGATTATCTGTGTAAGGTAAACTATTTGTGCTGGACATCAATCGATCTTTTTGGAAGTCATTTTTTTTATTTAAATTAAAATCATTCTTGGTCTAAATCTAACTACTTTTTAGGAAAACAGAATAAGACTATCAGAAAAATGTATTTAAAACGATAAGATCATAATTTACATGCAACAGGTAAACTATTTTGTACCGGACATTGATTGGTCTATTTATTTAAAAGTTATATTTAAATTTCAGCGGTTTGCATCTAATCAATTTAGTCAAAAAGATTAAGATTATCAGAAATATGTATATGAACATGATTTGATGAAAAATAAAAAAGGTAGTAATAAAGGTTGTCAGCGAAAAATCGTCAGAACCACATTGTTTGAACTAGTACACATGTGCGTATGTGCACAGTTGTGAGGTTTAATTATGCATCTGAATTTTTCAAAAATGCTAAAATTATCATTGATACCTCTATCTAATTAAAACATTCATTTCGAGTATTTTCCTGAACAAATAAGGTGGAAAGAGCAACTTAAACTCAATCGTGCTTTGTAAACATACACAGATTTTACGTATCCGTCTCTGGTCCATGGTTTACCATTGCCAAGTCAACATCTGGTATTAGAAGTTTTTTTTTTTAAATTGAAAGCAAAGTTTTTGACGGCGTATATTTCCACAAATAAAGAGTCTACGCTGATATTGCACACTTCTAATGATGCACCGTCAATTTAACAGTTACGTCAGAACATCAAATTTATATCAAAAGTCAAGTTAAAAATTGTTTTTATGTCAATCATTGTTTATATAAAGCCCAACTGATTAAAATGCTTGCCTTTTGTTACTAAGTCTTAAGGGACTGAAATCGGGATACAACAAAAAATGTTCGGCTGGCTCAAATATTTTTTGGAAGCCCTGGCGTTAACGATGCAATTTTCCATATAATTGTACATGAGAGCGCTAACAAGACCAGACAGACCCCAGGTATTTCTATATCCCCCGTAACACGTTGCACGGGGGACAATAAAACATCAGTCTGATAGAAGAAGATAGACACCAATAGTCCAGAATCTAGACAGTTGTAAATGATTCAACAGAAAATACTAGAAATGAATATGCATCCTTTAACAAGAACCTTGTACATGTATTAAATATACAATTAAAATGGGTTTCCTAGTGTTTTAATCATATAATGCCTAATTCAACCTTTGGAAAAACATCATGTCACATGATATTGCATACTTGAGGTATCACATGATTTCATTGACTGTTCAAAATGGCTGTTATTATCATGGAAACATGATTTCAAAACAAAATAAGTGACCACTGACAGTATTAATGAGATGACTAGTTAAAAGAGTTAAAAAAGTAGAGAAAATGTTTTGATGGGATTCAAAATAACCTTTAGACCAAGGTTGCCGCTGATCTGATGTAATCATTATGGCAGGTTTTACAGTATTTAGCAAACAAACAATATACAATTATTGACTTTTGATGAGGTTGATACAATAATTTATCAATCCCAGAGATACGATATTCACCAAGGCCAATGGCCGAGAGTGAATTTCACATCTTTGGCGTTGATAAATCATTGTATCAACTGAAATCAAAAGTCAACAATTGTTTTATTATATGACTTTTTATCATTCTCCAATTGTCTAGTATTTGCTCAAGATTCTTTTTTAACTGCTCCCTGTTTTTATACAAAATATATCATCTGCTTATGCAGTGGCTAATTTTCATAAGTTGAAATATTCAATAAAGTTTACTAAAAAAATACACCAAAAACAAGAAGAAGAGAAAAAATATACCTAAAACAAGAAGAAAAAGAAATAAACTGTTGACACAGAGATATGTCTCGCCTGTCCGCATAAAACTCAGAAAAAGACAATCTGATGGACAGCAAACATTGCTTATTAATTTAAAGTCACTGGACCATGATCTTGTGGGCAGGGCCTAGAAATGGTCGACAAACTAAGATGTACTGATAGTAATGCAACTTTATACAAAATATCATTGATATGATACAAGTAGTTCTTATCAAACTGACGACTTAAGCAGAAAACTTAACATTGAAAATTGCAAATTAATTCAAAGTCACTGGACCATGTCCTAGAGACGAGGGTCTCAACAAAGTCGTCAAACAGATATGAACTGATAGTAATGAGACTTCATACAAAATATCATTGATCTATCACAACTAGTTCCCATCAAACTAACTTAAGCAGAAAACTTAACATTGAAAATTGCTGTTAATTCAAAGTTGCTGGACCATGACCTAGGGGGCAGGGCCTCGAAATAGTCCTCAAAATGATATGTACTGATAGTAATCAACTTTTTATTAAACATCAATGATCTATCTAAGTAGTTCCTATCAAACTAATTTAAGCAGAAATCTTAACCATTGTTGACGCCACCGCTGTTGCCAGAAAAGCAATCCCTATGTCTCGCTTTCCGTGACTTTCGTAGCAGGGAGAACAAAAAATGGGAATTTACTTGACGTCATAAACCTACGTCATTGATGTTGCCTTAGAATATCTATATTTAGGTACACGGACGCTGTTCCAATCTTATATTAACCCCTTGTGATTTTTGCAGTGGTGAACTTAATGTTTTATCAAAGAGGATTTCCTATGCTTTTAGCCAATGAGAAAACAGAAAATTTATAGTCATATAAAAAACACCAATATCAACAAGAATTATAATAAATTTATCAATCAAACTTACATTTACTGTAGAAGATTCTATTTTGGTAGGTGATTTTTGTGTTGTTTGTTTCTACAATAGAATGATAAAAACACTTACATTTATTTCTTTCACTACATTTTGCTCAACAACAAATTGCTACAAACCTAAATGAAATTCATTTCAATTTATTGTTTCATGTTTATTTCAATTTGCTTGAAAATCACTCATGTTGGTTTTGAGGGAATCACTGCCTGACAGGTGGTGACTGCTTACAATTTAAATTGAGAGTAATAACACTCTTACAGTATATACAACATTAACATAAATTACAGTATCATACTTATGGAATTGTAAAGGGGTGTTTCAAAGTGAATCAACCACAATCACTTTGAAAACTCACAAAGAGTGATCTTTGACTGAATCAGCTTGTGTTTACTTTCATATCCTATCATAATGTCATATGTACTGTAAAAGTATGTTATAGCCAACTCATTATTGAAAGCTGTACGGTTGCCTATAATTGCTTACATCCATTTCATTTAAACTTTGGTGGACAGTTGTTTCATTGACAATCATACTACATCTCCTTATTTTCATATAATATCATTCTATTTGGCAGATATATAAATTCCTGCATGATGGGAATTAAGATGGTTGTGTGGAAGATAGATTCTACCTTTAACCTGAAACTCAACAAAGAAATTAACCATGATAACTTTAAATCTTACTGTGGACTCATTTTTATTTGTGGGATACATGAACAACCAATTTAAGTGTTCTGACTCTTTTTTTTTTTTTCAACAAAATAAATTTCCTATAGGCTTGTATACAGAATTTGTCAAACAGTGAAATCAAACATCAATCAACAAAAACTGTTACTATGAAATGAAAAGAAGACCAAGATGATGCCTTCATATCCTGATGTATTCTGGAGTGTGATAATATTTAGACATAATATCTACTGCACATTGCCCTGAATATGTATGATATTATTGCCACTTAATGTTAAGGAAGCAACAATCAATCAATGTTATACCCTTCTGCACGATTCAGGGGACAATCACAAATTAAGTTAAAATATTTCACAATGAAGAGGTGAATGCCTGGAATACTGAACAACTTTGGAGAAAAGGACACAAGCCTATAATTATTTTTTTGTGATGGCTTCTCTAGTTTGTTGATGTGTAGTTACTTTTTATGACTATACTCAGTTATATGTGTAGTTACTTTTTATGACTACACTCAGTTATATGTGTAGTTACTTTTTATGACTATACTCAAGTATAAAGAAATGAAGTAGAAGCAATGACTGAAATATTATAAACATGAAAAAAGATATAAATGTATATAAATCCAAGTACAACCAGATCTAGTTAATATATGACGAAATTTCTATTCATACATGTATATTGAATTGATTTGCCATATCCTTAAAGGAATATCTATACTTACAGTTGGAACAGGAGCTTCCTTTCCTGATTCTCGTTTTTTTCTCTAAAATTAACCAAAACACATACTTAAATTGAAAAAACAAGCATTCTGTGAGTATTGAATGGCAAAAAATAGTCCCCTACCGATTACAAATTCATTGTAATGGAACAAAATTCAAACTTGATCTATAACTTGTCATGGTGTAAACTACATAAAAATATCAAGTTAAAATCTTCAAGCATGACGAAAAAAACTGTTGAAAACTGATTATTCAAGTGAATTTTCTATGTCCAAAGACCATAACTCTGCACAAAATTATCAGACTGGAACAAAATTCCAACTTGATCTGTAACTTGTCATGATAAAACTATATACTAATTATCAAATCAATATCTTCAAGAATGACAAACAAACCTACCACTAAATTCTTCAAACAATTTACCAAAGAAAAGGAAAAAAATCCAAAATGTCATTTTGTCTTTAAAAAATGAGTTATTTCCCTTTGAATAGAAATCTACTAATTAATAAGTATTTCATCAAAAATTTAATTCTAGGGAAAGGGCTTTAACTGAACAAAGAGAAAAGCTAAAATCGTGAAAATTGAACTTGACCTGTAACTTGTCATGATAAATCAATAAACCAAATATCAAATCAATATCTTCAAGCACGAAGAAAAAAAGTCTGGAAAACTGATTTGCCGGACTGACAGATGGACAGACAGACGGACGGAGTGCAAACCTAAAGTCCCCTTCAACTTCGTCGGTAGGGGACTAAAAACCCAAACATAATGAAGTAAATAAATTAACCAGAACAAGAGGCTGTCGAGTGACAGCAAACCAGATTTTCCTGCAGAGGTCGAATCCTGAAAAGATGAGCAAGTATGGACCCCTATTTGGACCAATTTGAAAAGTGGGCCCAAAATCAGAAATCTAAATATATGTTTATTGATGGACAATATAAACTTACTTTTTAAAGGAGTTCATTTCATCAAAAAAGAAATATACAGCATTCAGAAAATTAGTTTTTACAAATAACAAACAAACTTGTCACAAAATTCTTCTAACAATTTACCAAAGAAAAGCAGAACAAGTCAAAATCGTGATTATTGAACTTGACCTCCATTTTGTTGTCAGTAACAACATATTAAAATTTAAAAAGGTTTGGTTGAACAGTTCATGAGTAAATGCACAGACACGACATTTTTTAAACTTTCAAGAACCGTAACTCCTGAACGGTAAAAGTCAAAATCGTCATTATTGAACTTGACCTCCATTTTGTTGTCAGTAACAACATATTAAAATTTAAAAAGGTTTGGTTGAACAGTTCATGAGTAAATGCACGGACACGACATTTTTTAAACTTTCAAGAACCGTAACTCCTGAACGGTAAAAGTCAAAATCGTCATTATTAAACTTGACCTCCATTTTGTTGTCAGTAACAACATATTAAAATTTTAAAAGGTTTGGTTGAATGGTTCATGAGTAAATGCACGGACAACATTTGGTTGCCGCCCGCCCGCCCGACCGACCGCCCACCGTACATCCCCAAATCAATAACCGACATTTTTGACACAAAAATCCGGTTAATAAAAGCAAACATTTTGCCTCACAATAAAATAATTTTATCAAATGATATGATCAAATCAGCCCTATTACAGCCCTGTTAATTCATCATGTGCAATACTAATGAGGTTGCAGAGGTGATACCAATACAGCAGTTCTGTCCTTGGGAATGTTTCCTTCTTGTTGCCTCTACTTTATAAAGCATCAAACTTTGGGCATATTAAGGTGCACCTGATAAATTTTTCATCATATTTCTATACTTCAATGTAATGACATTAAATGTTTAAATAATGTTCTGTTGTTTAGAAAGCAGACTTTAAGAATGAGAATGGTTAAATGCCTAGGGTTATTTTATTTGCTAGATAAAATTACATAGCACAGATTAAGTGCTTGACAGATAATAAGAAAGCTCATCAATTGACAAACAAGTTGAACATTGATCTACTGCTCATTAATGATAGCCCTCTCTATAAGTATTTAGTAAGCAGGAAGCTGAAAAGCAATGGATGTTAAAACATATCACATGGTATGGCAAGCTTATATGAACACTGATACCAAATTTCTGGATTATCTGAGTTTGAAGTTCCTGAGAAAATGAGATGAAATTTTCATTGACAAATGAACAGGGTCAATACAGCTAGCCTTGAATATATACTAAGCCAAATACAGAAACAGCCAAATAAAACACCATAACAATTCTTGCAATTCTCTGTTGTGCACAAACAGCATTTTGACATACATATCTAATTCAACTCAAATCAAATTGACTCATCACCTAGATGAAATGCCTTACTTTTTACTTCAAATATGTTGATTGGGATTAAAAGTCTTTTCCCCAAACCCTTAAGAGTTGCACAGCCCTGGTTTGTTGCGTAAATATAAGATTGTAAGCAACAAGAATGCATGCATTGTTGTGCTAAGCATATCTGAACAAGTTATTAAAAGTATCAGAAAATAGGAAATAGGTGTCTAACAGATCCAATAAGCACTCACACCTTACAACGCACCAATGTCAAGTAGCTGATCAAATATGAAGTCATTCTGTTCTGACAGTAGTTTTTTGGTTTTCTTTATAAATTGTGATGAAAATATTTGCTTTTTGTCAACATGTTGAAAAATTCAAAGTATCAGAAACAGGAAGTAGGTGTCCCACATATATAAAAAGCCCTTACATGTTACAACTTATTATTGTCAATTTAAGATGAAGACCAAATACGGAATCATTCTGTTCCTTAATACTGTAGAATTTTTTTTTAGTTCATTCCACCTATTAAATAAGTATCCGCAAATAGGAAGTAGGTGTGTAACAGATCTGAAAAGTGCTCACAGGTAAAAAGTCATCACTTTCAAGCTGCCGACTAAATATAAAGTTGATCTGTTGGTGCTTGAGAAAATGTGACAAAAATATTTTTTGGACAAACATTCGGACAAACAAGGTGATTGCTTAATGCTTGTATTTTATTATTTCAATGTGAAAATAATGCTCATGGGTTTTATCCCTATGTGTTTGTGAGATTATATTCATGAATATGTAGTTATACATCTTTAGATGATGCTTCAATCATTGTGATAATGATATGCTCATTCACTTACCCGCTTTACTGCTTTTTGATAACTATCTATCATACTTACGGAGGGATAGGGTATCATTGACTTTCCTGTCATTTCGTCTTTTCTGTGGTCCTTAAAAAATAATGTATAAACCTACAATTCTTTGAATATATATTAAAAGCACACAACTTCTACAACAAGATTGAACACAATGAAATGTCTCGCCTTCTTTACTTATGATTGAAAGCCTGTAATATCATTTATGAAGGTTTTACTACAAGTATCACATAAACTTAACATTATTAATAATTTATGAAACTTAGGTCAAGGTAAAATGAACCATGCCAAACAGACATGCACACCTTATAATCATTCCATACACCTGTCACCAAATATAGAGGTCCTATTGCTTATTGTACCTGGAAAGCAGGTCAAACCACTAAATCTTAACATTGACCAATGCACCATGAAAATGAGGTCAAGATAGTATGAACCCTGCCAGACAGACATGTACACCTTACAATCATTCCATGCATCAAATAAAGTTGACCTATTGCTTATAGTTTATGATAAACAGATCAAACCACAAAATCTAAACATTGACCAATGATCAATGATGAGGTCAAGGTCATAGAACCCTCCAAGGCAGTCATGTACACCATACAATCATTCCATACACCAAATATAATAGACCTACTGCTTATGGTATCTGAGAAACGGACTTGACCACGTAACTTGAACCTTGATTACTGATCCATGAAATGAGGTGGAGGTCAGGTGAACCCTACCTGACAGACATGAAGACATTGCAAGGAACACATATACCAAATATAATTATCCTATTACATGTAATTATAATAAGTGAGTATTTCACTTGACAAATTTTTTTTTTTTCCAATCAGTCACTGAACCATGAAAATGAGGTCAAGGACAATGGACAATTGACCAGTGATTTTGCTAGCGCTCGTCATTTTCGTCATTTACGAAGCAGTTTTCAAAATAACATTTACAACAGGTGTTTTTAAGTTGTGATTACAGATGATCCGCTTATCGCCATCGGATGGGTCACTAATCCATTAATTATTCATCAACCTCATAATTGATCATCATAATTATTTTCCTCAGTAAAATCAGTCAGTCTGCATTTCAATTTCAATATTTATCAAACGAGCACAATTTGTAGTTCGTTTGTCGTAGTTTCGTCATTTGAGTTTTCCATCGGACAGTTCGCATTTAAATTTCAATATTTCTCAAACGATCACAAATTGCAGTTCGCTTGTCATAGTTTCGTCAAATGAACGTATTTTCGTCATATTTGATATATTATTATTCATAACATTCAGAAATTTTTTCACGAGTCAAACAGGTGCTTCTTTTACGATGAACTGCGCATGCGCGAAAATATTCTTATGAATTTAAAGACACTAAAACGTATAATACAAATAATTAAGTATCAAACTAAACAAGAGAGACAAATATAGTTCTTATTTAGCAAATTTAATTTAAAAAATGATAATTTCCTGCCCTTTTTAAACACGAACCAATCCGTAGATGAATCCGGATTCATTCTGAATTTATTATCCACTTGTCACTTCCCGTTTTCATTTCACTTGGAAATGGAAAGTAAACGTGATCTATTCATGATAAATTTACAATTTAAAGTCATTAGAATTGTTCCAATAAGGATTTGTACAAATCCTTGGTTCCAACTTTATAGAATTAATTCTAAATATCGCTTTAAAACGTTTTTAAGGATAATGAGTATGAATAATGCAGTGAAATAGTCCTTACAAGTTCATTTATGCTGTGATTCCTGGTTTAAAATAAAATGGATCCCAACTTTTGCTGATTAGGAATGTTACCGTGAAACTAACTGAAGTGAAATTGTGAACTAGATTTCTAGATCTTATATCCTAATCTTCATATTAAAGTGCCACATCAGTCAATTCATGCAGTAACTGCTTAGTATGCTTAAGTCCTTCAAAGTCTGACAAAATGTATAGATAGTAATATACATCCTAGGTCCCTTGCTGCTACCCAAAATAAGGTTGATTTTCATCCCGCACAAAAGTGACTAAAGCCCTCAAAATCCTAGCTTAAACCCTGCATTTGACAGATGGAAACTTGGTAATTTAAGGTATCTGCATACAAGATATGAAGCATCCAGGTCTTCTACCTTCTGAAATATAAAGCTTTGTACAAATAGTTTACACTGTCATTGCCGCTAGATTGTAATCACTATGTCTCACATTCTGCGACTTTCGTCACAGGCGAGATAAAAACCTTCAAATTACAATGCAAGCAATTCTATAATCAAAATAGAAGAAGTAGATTTGACAATGGATTTTATTAGTTGAAAAGATAAATTGACTTTGACAATCAATACGACCTTCTATTAAGTTGTTGAAAACAGTAAGTAAAGCCTGTATCAAGAAAGACAAAATGTTGACCTTTCAACTTTCTATTTTTTAAAAATAATGTTGCTCAGCTGCTGTTTCTTATGTTTACCCTACATCTTTTATTTCAAAGGTTGGACATAAATATATTTTTACATTCCTAAGGGTAGACACAAAAATATATTTACATTCCTAAGGGTAGACACAAATATATTTTAACATTCCTAAGGGTAGAAAAAAATATTTTTTAACATTCCTAAGGGTAGGCAGAAATATATTTTGACATTCCTAGGGCGCCTCACAAATATATTTGAACAATGAACCAGAACATCCTAACCACATGCACATCTGAATATTAAAATCTAACAATTAAGTAGTGTCATGTTGATACGATAAACCATGTAGGAGGAGTTGTGATTCTGGAAGTTAAAAGGGGCATAACTAACAAATATGCAATGGACTGGAAAAGCCTACATATATGCACATCTACATATTAGGATCTAACAATATACAAAGTTTTATGAAGATGGGATAGGCCATGTAGAAGGACTTATCATGAAAGCGTTGGTTCTGAATAGGGTAAAATTTTCTAAGGTGAAAGGAGCATAGTTCAAGATACATTAAACAGAATAAAAATTTCTTCACATGATAATGTAGGCATATCATGATCTTTTATTCTGAAAAGTTTGAAGTAAATCAAACAAAGGATGAAGAAGTTGGTCTGGAAAAACAGACAGGCTGATTTCAATATACCACCCCAAACTTTGTTTCCAGGGGGTATTAAAGAAGTTGGTCTAGACAAACAGACAAAATTTGTCCGTGAGGGATAATATCTAGAGGCTCTAAAGAGCCTGTGTCGCTCACCTAGGTCTATGTGCATCTTCAACAATAGAAACTCTCCATCTTTGTGGACTAGAAAAGAGTTCATAACAAAAATCTCTTCTTTGTTGATCTAGTCTTGCTGATCATTTTTGCTTATTTAAGTTTCTATCTACTGTGGATTCATTTATTTTCGTGGGTATCAATTTTCTTGGATAGAGAAAAAAAGACGTTTCGTGGTATATGTAAATTCGTGGATCGCTGATTACAAAAAGAAAGAAAAAAATTCAGATACGTAATTCGTGGATTTCTTTTTAATTTAGGAGATCATATAACCTCCTTAGTTTGATCAATAATAAAACAAACAAAAAAGAAGGAATTCATTGAAAAAGTTTTGAATTGTCAAAATCCTCGCTTGGTCATTCTAGGTTAAAGAGTTCATTGAAAACTTCTATTACAATAATGGACAGAGACAACTAATTACTTGTTTGTTTTACAATTTATAAATTCTTGTCGGAATTTTATAAGGCATTCAAAACTCTATGATTTAAAGCTCATTTCCCTGATCACAATATAATAAACAGTCATATAAGTAAAAGGTGTGAAAATAAATGTTCCTGTCATAAACAATATTACCTTTGGGTAATATCCACGTACTTAATCCTATTGATTTTAACTCACCAGTAAACCACACTATGACACGGTAATTAACAACTTGCAGTTATTTTCAATGAAGTTTTATTCAATTTTAAAAAGTAAATTAGGCCAAAATAAATTAATAGTGTGTTTCCTATTTCACCTCCAAAAAAATTAGGTAGGGTAGGTAGGTAAAACATTTTATTTTATGAAAACATTTTATTATTTTTTTCTATTGAAGGGTCAACAGCAAATCAAATAGTTTGATGTGCAGGCTTCTTTGATATTTAGAATAGTAATTATATCTACAGCTTTTTTAATTTTCTGTTTTTGTTCTGCTTCAGAAATATGAAAATAAACTTTAATGAAAATTTTATGCATTTCATTGGTCGTAAAAGGAAAAGTGTATGTTCTTCCCAATTAATTATCTTAAATAAAAAATGGCAGTGAAAAATCTGGCATGGTATGTTATTATGTTGGGCCTCGTTGAACCTAAAAATGTAAATGTCACACAGGGTTTACATGTGGAAGCAGGTAAGTACCCCTTGAAAACACTGTGAACCGATGCTAAGCAGCAGTTAATTATGATTTTTTGAGGGTTAATACTCTGCCCTTGCACCCTCTTTATTTGATATACAGATGTGGTTGATGTTTGACAGAATGTGATGTTGATTGAAGATTGGGTGGTTCTGACAATATTAAAATTCCAGGTTTTGAGAAGAGTGAGAATGTGAAATCTTTGTCTTACTAATGAGGGTAGTAATGCCCTTTACCGTCAGGCGTCAAACAGTCATTTTCGGCTACCGTTAGCGTCAAATTGGTTAAAATTTTACCTTAATTCGTCAAAATATCCTTATCGTGATTCGTCAGATCAATGATTTGTATACTATACAAATCCTTGGTCAGAGGTCTCAAATAATTATCGTTACTGTTATTTTTGGAAAAAAATTTACGTGATTCGTCAAAATCAGTCGATTTTTTTACCGTCTAAAAGAAAGTGTACATTTTATCAATTTTTTATCGTTATTCTGTTTACGTATATTTGTTCTGCCTAACAGGAGTTCCACTGAAAACTTTGTTATAAACAATATGTACTATTTATTCCAGTGGAAATAATATTCCAGAACACTTTTTCCATTTGGAACTTCTATTATGAAGGAACTTCTATTTCGTGGCAATTCGTCATGAAGGTACCCCAATTACGACCCTCATTAATCTACTGGTCAAATAAAATGCAGATGTAATTATGACATGATTTTTTTCCCTTTTCTTGTATAAATT